GCCTCCTCGGGGGGCAGGTCGACGACAATGAAGCCGTTGACGCCGGCGCTCTTGCAGTCGTTCAGGAGGCGCTCCTCACCGTAGCTGAGGAGGGGGTTGTAGTATCCCATCAGCATCACGGGCGCCTTCAAGCCCTGACTCCTTGCGTCCTTGACCATCTGAAGGGTGGACTCGATCGTGACGCCGTGTTGCAGCGCAACCTGCGCATGTTAGTCCTCGCTGCGCCCTCAAAAGCCGCTCGGTGGGTGCTACTCACAGTGTTCGATGTCTGGATCGTGGGGCCGTCGGCAATTGGGTCGGTGAAGGGAGCGCCGAGTTCGATCACGTCTTGCGCGGTGTCAGTAACTGTCCTCTTCGACGACCCAGCACAAGGGGCAAAACTTACCAGCGCCACCCTTCTCCATGGCCAGCAGGACGCCGGGCGTGTCCTGCGGCGTGGGGTAACCAGCAGTAACATAGGTAACAAGCGCAGACTATTCAAATCGTCAGTTTTCCGTCCTTGTGCTCCGTCTCGGCGGTGACGGTGTCGACCGCGGGGTCCCCTCGAGTGCGATCGCGGGGCACGAGACCGGGGGAAACAGCAAAGACTCACCCTGCCCTGGGCCTTGCAGCGCTGGAATGTTTGCCTAAGACCTTCCATGTTGAATATGAACCTGTCAATGGGGTATACGGAAGAAATTGACTCGGTGCTGTCGCTTTGTGGAGGATGAATTGGAGGAAGTTCGAAAGGCGGTGGTTGTTTTATGAACGGTTCCGACAAACGTGGGGGGAGGGGACCGGGGAGTCACTGGTCGGAGGGAGGCGGGACGGTGCTAGCCAGAGTCGATGGAACACGGACGGGAGCTCCGACTTGAGCGCAGGGCTGCTTGCTTAGGTGTGGTATCTGGGGTCCAACCCGCTGGAAAGTCGGACGCTGCCCGCCGTAGTGACGCCAGATACAGCGTCCTCAGAGCCCCCAGGGACCAGCTGCACCCCACACCCGCCACCGCACCGATGCCGGCAAGCGGCCTGTTTGTCCAAATCCTGGCCTCCTGAGTGGTTCAATTGAGCTGCAGGCCCCTGCCCCGTCCTCCAGCGGCGGAGCCCACCACAGCGCAATTCGCCTCGGCGGCGGGGCGGAGATGCCCAAAAGAGGTTCAAAGACATCACTTTGCCGTCTGGCCCATCGCCGCTCCGGCAGGCAATGGCTACGGACTCCAAATCATGTCCCACACATCCAACATTGTGGGACGCCTCGGTACGTCTATCCCGAACAGCTCCGTCTCCGACGTGATTAATGTTATTACTCCAAATCCGCAGGCGAACTTCACGTCTATTTCATCACGACACAGCGGCCAATAGGACACCCGATTTTTTTTTTTGGTTGCAGCTAGCAGTATATTCAATCTTCAACTACCTAGTGGTATATACCAAATAGACATTCTGGTAGCTAGCAAAGCTGCCACGAACCAAATCATTCCGGTGGAATCAAAACGCAAAATATGAGAACCGTTGTAGAATCGAAAACAAACGGTGCGGCAACTGAGCCGTTGGTATCTTTGAGTCGACCTTTCCTCCCTGTTCCCACCATGGGGTAAATTCCACCATGATCCAACGCCTTTTATCTCATGCTCTTCGTATTATTCAGACCTGTCGTAAAATGAGGGGTATCTCTCGGCTAAGGTCCAGCCAGGCCGGAGGTATTAAGGTCTCCAACCTCTTTGTAATTTTTTTTTCTTCTTGTTATGTTTTCTGCATGTTCGATATTCTTTGTCGACATAGATACCGTCTTAAAACTTCGTAGATGACGCCGTGTCAAAGTGGCCGTATGAACTCGACCTCTCGTGGCCTTCCATGGGCTGTGCGCGTCCCATGCTGGTTTTCTTGATCGTCTTTTCGTCTCGGATGTCTCTCGAGTAGTGCTCGTCATCGACCGCAGAGTGATCGCTGCCAAACTGCGGGAACCGCGAGTCGTTGCCGTGGGATCTCGGCGGGCTTCTCGGGCTCATGGCCGGACGGTCGTCCCCAGTATACCTCAATCCACCCTCAGCACGGCCTTTGTCTGGCACGACCATGCCCACCAGCGCGCGAATGACACCAATGAGGACGATGATGACGTAGATGAGGAGGATACCGGTAGAGATGAGGGCTTCCTGGATGATGCCGCGCTCCAGCCAGTCGGTGACGTGGGTGACGGCGCCGGTGACTTCGTCGGTGGTCACGGACGATGGCGAAGCAAGAAACGTGTTGAGGTCCGAGTCGCCCGAGATTGACTCTTGAGCGCCGAGGCTGAAGGTGTCGTTGTCGAACGTGGGGAACGAGATCTGTGAGTGGTCGTGGACCCACGTAAGACCCTTCTGGACAGCCTCGACCTTCAGGCCGATCGTGCAGCGGACAACGTCCTTGATGGGGTTGATCAGGATGGTTCCGTTGAAGACAGTCTCAAGGCCGAGCGTCATGGTGCTTGTGAAGGTGTTCAGGGTGTCGTTAACCGCTGACGTCGCGTTTGTGACGTATCCAAGCATGTCGTTGTTGATCTCGTTCTGGGTGTTGAGGATGACGCCGTTGGCATCGTCGGCCCACTCCTTTGAAACGCCCTCGAGTGTGTTGACAACCTCGCCGGCAAAGTTGCCGACCTGGTTGGCCAGGGCCGGTACCTCCTTCTGGACGGCCTTGAGGATGATGTATTGGCACAGGCAGGAGAAAAAGCCAGCAATGGCAAGAGCCAGGACGAAGAGAGCCGGAAGAGACGTGGCGTAGGCGATGGCCCAGCGAACCATGATCTGGCGCTTGCCCTTGAAGTGAGAAGCAATCTTGACGCCATAAGTCGCAGTCATGGGGCGGGAAGCAATGTAAACGACATCCATCGAGTCGTACTGGCCGTTGGCAATGATCTTAGCCGTCTTGCGCTCGCGTCTCCAGCGCATAATCTCGAGCCATGCCATGGGGGCGATGACCAACACGGCCAGGATGGAGAGGACGACGATGAAAGCGATGCGAGCCTTGGTGATCTTGTCCCTCAGGTTGCGGAAGAAATCAGAAATGTTGTTGTTGTTCGAGCAAAACGTGAGTGCCTGCTTCTGCGCGACGGGAAAGACAGAACGATCGAACTTGTAGCCAGCGTAGGCGTCGTTGACGGTCTGCTTGAGCAAGTTGAAAGGGAAAGAGATGGCCTCGGCAGTCATGTTCTGGACCTCTTCAAAAGTGGGGAGGTCGTCGTTGAGCTTGTTCAGATCGCCGACGAAGCCGCTGGTGTCAATCTTGATATCGCGCAGCTCGTTGACCGGGCCGGTAAAGTCGACCTTGGGAAAGTCTGGGAGAACCTTGCCGAGGACCGAGTCTTCGATGGCACTGGCTGCCTTGTTGATACCGTCTTGCAAGCTCTTAGCCTTGTCGTCGATGGTGTCGGTAATGGAGCCAATAGCCTTGTTCATGGCGTCGGTGACCTTCTTGGTGACATCGGAAGCCACGTCGAGACCACCGTGAACAAAGGCCGTGATGAGGCAGGTGTACATGGAGGTCATCATGTTGATGACGAAGATGATGAGGTTCTGGACACCGGTGATGACCAGACCCAGCACCGCGACCATGCCGTCGAGCGTCTTTTCGATGCCCTTGGCGGACAGTTCGTTGACACCGACGGAAAGGTAGTGGGGCATGGAAGCCATGGCGCTGCCGATATCCTCCACCTTCGTACAGGCAGACAGTGCCTTTGCGTTGGCCTCGTCGACATTGTCGTTCAAGCTAGCGATGAGGATGATGATTCTGAGCAGGACGAGCAAGAGGAGGATCGTCCAGCGGTTGATCCAGATTTGCGAAAGTCTGGCACTGAGGCCGAGATAGGGCGTGATGTAGGGTGAGGTGTCGGCTCGAGCTTGTTGGGTCTTTCTAAGCTCCGACATCTCGAGCGAGTCCGACCTCAGGGAGTCGGGGACGGCCGGGTAGGCCTCTTGTTGTTTCCGCGAGGTAAACATCTTGAGTCTATCGATGGTGTAAGTTTTTTGATGCAAAATTTCGTGGCCAGCAGAAAAGTAGAAGAAGAAAAAAATATGTGAAAAGTCCAAAAAGAGAGGAGGCGGTTGTGGTCGACAAGCAGAGAGGATTATGTGTCGAAGGTGGTGGTGACTGAATTAGGTGAATCACTCGTCGAGGCAAAGACAGAAAAAAGAGGAAAGAAGGAAATTGACAAAGGAAACTCGTCAAGCACTGGCACTGAACAAGCTCTCTATGAATCCATTGTGGGGTCTTTGAGGTGCAGGTGAAGAACACTGAGTTTGGGTTGGGAGAGGTGTAACAGAGAAGGGAGTCGTGAATGGGAAGGAAGTACAATAAAAGGAAGGCACGACTAACACGGCCGAGGTCGAGGCCGCGGGATCACGCAGCAGCCGCGCAGAGCAGCAGCAGCAGCAGGGGGACGGGGATATGGGTCCCGAGATCAAAGAAGAAAGACTGCTTACTTGATTCACACCTCGAAGCAGAAGGAATAAAGCCTGCAAAGGCCCTTTTGGCCGTGGCCTTGAGGAAATTGGACTTGGCCCAAGCCTTTGTTTCGTCCGTTTGGCGGCACCAGGCAAAGGCAGAAGCAGGTGCGGGTGCGGGTGCGGGTGCAAGGTGAGGTGGAGGACTTGGGTGAAGCCTTGTTAAGCGCGCTCAACGGCTGCTCTCAGCCAACCAAAGACGCCGTCCGGGGTCGCGATGAGCGGCTGCCCAAACGCTGCTAAGGCAAAGCGATATTTCCGGAAGACGGGACGGGACTCTCGATGCTGTGTAGCCGTATCAGACCGCACGGAATAGATTGACTCGATCGATGAGGCTCGTATTGCGGCTCCGCTTGGCGACCGAGCTGGAGCTGATGTGAGAGACGAGCTGAGAGTTGAGTCGAGTTGAGCTCGCTTGGCGAAGGGTAAATAATAACTACGGGGTGTGTGCCGAGTTGAGTGTGTTGCTCCTACAAGAGTCTCGTCGAAAGACAAGGCTCGTTGCTTGAAACTTGACTTGCGCAGTGAGGTGGTGTTGTGGTATCACGAGAAGCAGAAGCTGCACCAGCATTCGTCTAAGCCAGCAGTCGACGGCTTCGTGAATGGGGCGAACTCGCGAGTGATATACAAATGGATGTTTGAGTCACTGAGCAAGGGGACACCACGGAGCGACAGACGGATGGTGCCCATCTTTCCAAAAGTCGCCATTCGGGGGTGCCAGCAGAGGGGAATGGCATTTTAACAGAACCCGGTCTCGTTCGTAGGCTCCGGTTCGTTCAAAGCTCTCCCGGCGAGAATGCACTCTGACGCCATTGGCAAGCCGGGGGCATTTCTGCGGAGAGCTGCCCACCTTCAGGGCATCTGCAAGGTTGTTGGGCAACGGCGCTGCCCACCGTGCCACCCTCGCCGGGCGCCCTCTCGACCTCCTCGTTGATAACCTCGTGGACAGACACAGCACAGGCTGCCCAGTCAAGATTCAAGCCCAGTCGCATCCCCGTCGCGAGTCACGCCAGGTGGTGCCGGTGGCTGTGCCGGGCCTCGCGAGATGGGCTTTGGTGCGATGCGGGCGAGAGAAACGGTGAGTTGTCCTGGCTAGGGTGGTCTGGAATTCTCTGAATTTGCTGGATTTCCGGGGAGTTCTGCACGAAGGGTCATGGTGACTGGGAAGAGGAAAGCAGGAACAGAGTAAAGATCGTCAGCCAGCGAACGAAAAGAGGCGGCGGATGGCTGGCGCCTGCAGGGGGACCCCCATCGTCTGAACAAACATTTTGTCCAATCGTCATGCGGATGCCGCCATTCGGCTCACGCCGCTAAAGTAGGACCCCTGTAACGAGATGGCAAGAGGAGAAAAGACTGGCTGGCTGGGCAAGCGACGGGCAAGAATGGGACCGGACCCTTGGTGTTTTGGCGAAAAGTGTGGATGTGTTTGCTGGGCAGACCTTTCCACCAAAAGGCAAGTCGGCCGATGGCGATGGGTGCGGTGCGGGTGGGCGATGGGGCATGGTTGATGATCAGTGCCAAGCATTTGCCACTACAACCACGGCAGGTCAAAAACCGGTTTGCGACAGGAACGGTCTTTTGGAGGCTGATCTTGGTCAGACGGCAGGAAAGCTTAAGGCAATCCCACAAATCGTGCCTCCCTTGAAACGCCCAGGCAGTTCGTCTAGATGGGTTAAGGTACGATAGGGTAAGGCAAGGTAGAAAAGGTACTAGAGACTAGGCTGGTCCAGCGCAGGCAAGTGCAGGCCCAGGTGCAGGCACGGCAGGTACACCTCTGATAAGGCAGTAGTGGCACCTTGACTTCATTCACATTCCGCCTGCCAAGTTTCTTCCTCCAGTGCTTCTGCCCCGTCCAGTCCAACCATTGCCTATCGGAAGAAAGGATGATGGAATGTGTCCGGAGAAAGCATAGGTAGTCGCACAGCCGGTTGCATTCTCCATGGACCTTGCTTGCCCGCTCAGTGTTCCATCGATGCGCATTTCCATCGGAGGGTTCTTGCGGCAACTGGCGATGGACCCACCAAACAAGAACTCACCAGTGCCCCGTGCTTCCTTTTGTTCTGTGGGGTCGTCTCAAGTCTTGACGCTACGAGAGAATGATTGGCCGCTGGTGGCCTGCGCTCTGCGACGTTGGGCGCTTCGCTGCAGACGCTACGGACGACGAACCGCCAACGATGAGGACGGCGCTTGCGGTCTCTGGGACGAGGCCGGAAGACGGGTATTTAGATGAGATATTTGGATGGTCTCCTCTAGCTACCAGGCGTATCTAGAAAACCTCGTATCGTAAGATGATGGTCTATTCAGCCATTCGGTCCAGTCTCCCAGCAGCTATGCGTGGCCTGCTGCACCACCATATGGCTGCGGACTGAGTCGCCTGAGACTGACTGACTGACTGGCCGCATCTTGCATGCGAGGCATGAATTGGATCGTCTGCAGTGTCGCAAACTCACGTGGAGTTTCTTGCTCACTCAGGCGTACGAGTGGCAGTCATCCTAGCTCCTCATGCTCTGAGCCGGAGTTGACTGCGCCTTGCGTGACCGAATCCAGTCAGTCGACGGAAGCTCTGAACAGAGGTGACGTAGGTGCCTAGCTTCCGGAGCACAGAAACTTGGCCGCACTTTTCTCACCGCCGGCCTTGGAAGGCAGCTGCGCCGCTGAAGAAGCGACGACTTGGGCGAGGGCACGTGCGCCTTCCCATCTCTTAGCTAAGCAGATGCACGGGCCAGTATTCAATCTTCTGTCGGCAAGGAGCAACATAAGTCCGCTCCTTCCAAATTTTCACTAGTGGCCACTCTCCAACCTCCTGCCCTGCCTCAGGTCGCCCCTGCCCCTGGACCCTCCTTCCTGTCGCGCATCGCAGCTGAAGGTAGGCGCATTCTGTTTTCGGCAGGCGGTCTCGTTCAGACTTCAAACCTTGCAACTCTCACCCTCAGCTTGCCCTGCCCTCTTCCTCTCCAACCGACAACATCAGGGCATTGTCGCGGGTTTCCAACATCAGTACGGTCATCATCGCGTCGTCCAAGAAGAATACTGCATTGATTTCTCTTCCTCTGATATCGCGACAATAAAGAGATTGCGGCGCTCCTTCATCACCTGACCAAGCCCACTCGTAATCCACATCCCATTTCGTATCCTGTCGCACTGAAAATTCAACTCGCGCACCCACGAGACCTTCAACCTCACGACTTCCTTTGACCTGACAAGTCACCATCCTCTCTATTGATCGTGAAGCGTCAAAGAATCGCCAACATGGCCGAACCGCCCCGCGACATCTCGTCCATCCTTGCTGCCCTAGGTAGGTACCCGAAACATGACCCGCGCCTTGTCTTCATCCCCAACTAACGACTCGCCTCGATAGGCGCAGCACAAAGAGGCACGTCCTCGACACCCACTCAATCCCAGCCTGGCATGCCGCCTGGATACCCTCCTCCTCCCGGCGCCCAACCTCCGTCATACCCTCCAATGCCACAGAGTGCGCCTCCTTACGGCCCAAGCGGAGGGTACCAGCTGCCTCAGCCCTCCGCGAGCGGCAGTCTCGATCTGAGCTCTATCCGGCCCGTCAACTCTGGCACCGTGAGCATCGCCGACGCCATCGCCCAAGCTAAGGCCTTTGCCGCTGAGAAGGGCGTTGCCTCCTACGACCGACCTCTCGTCTACTCCAACGAGCCTCCGCGCCAGGATTCTCGCGGAGGTTACCACCGCAGCTCGCGATCTCGTTCGCCTCCCAACCGTCGCGACCAGTTCCGCGACAACTTCAATCCGTACAGAGATGAGCGACGCGGCGACGAACGTCCTCGCGATTACGGTCGCGAACGGTCCTATAGTCCAGGCCCCCGTGGTCGCGCTTTCTCGCCGCGCAACTCCAACGCCAGAGAACGGTCTCCACTCCGAGCCAGCGGTGGCGGTGGCGGCGATGACAATGCCGAGACTATCCAAATTGAGTCCAGTCTCGTTGGACTCATTATTGGTCGCCAAGGCGAGAATCTGCGCCGAATAGAATCCGAGTCCAGCTGCCGAGTGCAGTTTCTCCCGTCCAGCGACAACGGTCCCTTCCGCCAGTGCAAGATTACCGGCCCCAGGGCTCGACGCAGTGAGGTGAAGACCGCCATCAACCGCATCATTGAAGACAGCGGCATGGGCGCCATCAACCGCGGCGCTGCGAATCCGAAGGGAACTCCTCGCGACAGCCGCGGCGCAAGTGCTGCAGCAGCAGCCGCAGGCGCTGCTGCTTTGAGAGACGGCGAAGATTGTATGCAGATCATGGTTCCCGATAGAACCGTTGGCCTGATCATTGGTCGTGGCGGTGAGACGATTCGCGATTTGCAGGAGAGGTCCGGATGCCATATCAACATTGTCGGCGAGTCCAAGAGCGTTAACGGCCTTCGGCCTGTCAATCTCATTGGCTCGCAGGAGTCTGCTGCTCAAGCAAAGGATCTCATCATGGAGATTGTGGACAGTGATAGCCGAAACGACGGCCAGCCTGCTGCCCCGGCTAAGAAGCCGCCCAGGCAGGATGGTGGTCATCAGAGAGATGCCGGCCCCCAGGCTGGAGGTCCCGACAAAATTCACGACGCTATTTACGTTCCTTCCGAGGCTGTCGGTATGATCATTGGCAAGGGTGGCGAAACCATTCGGGACATGCAGAACGGTACCGGGTGCAAGATCAACGTTGCCCAATCCTCAGGACCAGGGGAGGTCCAGCGCGAAATTGCTCTCATCGGCTCGCGCGATAGCATCGCCCGTGCGAAGCAAGCAATCGAAGAGAAGGTTGATGCCGTGGTAAGTTAGCATGGATACTAAAGGATCATACAGATGCTAACATGTCGCAGCGTCAGAAGAACTCTGGAGGCGGTGGCGGAGGCGGCGGTGGTGGTCGCGGTCGCCAGAACCAGGATTACAATGACAGAAGCTACTCTCAACAGGGATCTAACCCACCAGCATCAGGATCGACTAATCCCCCAGCTGCGCAAGCTCCAGCCGGAGCCGATGGCGCGGACCCTTATGCCCAGTGTGAGTGATGTCGACGTGTTCCGGCACCCGTGATAGTGGCTAATGAATCAACAGACGGAGGCTACCAGAACTATCTTGCCTTGTGGTACCAGTCCCTCGTATATCAACAGCAGCAAGGCGGCGCAGCAGGCCAGCCAGGTGCTGCACCCCCGGGAGCTTCATAGAGGAGGCACTGAGCGTGCGCCCACTTCGTGGAGACCATGCCTACGTGATGTGATTGATCACTTGCCATGGACTCGACATGATGCTTCCTTTCGCGTTGCGTATATTGAAGCGGTGCACATGCCCTTGACTCCGGCGTGTCGCATCGCATTTTACGATTCATTCTCATCCTCGACGACTGATAACTTTCATCCGCTGGACTTGCAACAGCACAGCGTCCTACTTGTTATACTTGGACACACACATCACCAACCGGGAATCGCAAACAAGGAGGAAGATGTCGGACTGCCTATGGTCCTGCTTCGCTGACTTCCGATGCACTGAACTCACTCGACACTTGACGATGATGATGGCACTTCTTCGCTTGCACATGTTCCTTGACTGGCATGACCGGGACCCTCGACCCTGACATGGACACGGTGCGTAATGACGCTTTGCGACGACATGGGTTTCCTGCCAAATGTCCTTGATGCACGCTCTTTTCGCCTGTGTGACGGCTGGAACACTATTTCGGACTTGGACACTCCAAAATCTGACACCGGTGGCGTTCGTCGTTTATCGTGGAATATTTTCCTTCGCAGGTGGCTATGGTGAAGCTCCGAGACTCCTGCTGGTCATGATGCAAGATGCCGCTTGGGCTTTGGTGCCTGAGGAAAGCTGCAACTGCCACTATCGGCGTAAGCGATTACCTCGACTGCCGTTCGACTCGTTCGCCGAGTGATTCCATCACGCCAGCATCGTATCGCGGTTGATTCTCTACGTGGGTTTGCGTCGTCAATGTCACCTCAACTAAGGCCATTTGACGTCCTTCATCGTATGGATGCGTATTCCGTCCAGTGCAGCTCTATGGTCTTTGTGGACATGAAACCAGACCGTCTCTTTTCCTTTCTCATGCTACAGCTGAATTTTTTGATTCCCCATTTCCATGTTATCGGCGGATGAGGTTGGCACGGACAGGCGGGTTGACGATGGAAAAAGAAAAAGCACACTGTATAATAGTAATTCCGCCTCAATCGAGTCTCATGATTTCACGCGTCAACACGCGCTTCGCTCACTCGTCCACAGTGTCTAATGGAACGCAGGGCAACACGTCCGGCTCCTCGGCAGCATCAGAGATGTCGAGGCGGGTTGCCGGTGCGAGATCTAACATTCCTCCCGTGACGCATGCATTCATCGATGCCGCTGCTTCGTAACATTCGTACATGGTCCAGGCCCGGGCGGCGTCTTCCAGCGCAAGACTATTCCGCAATTCCTTCGCGGAGGTTATTCGCGACATTCTGTGGCATCGACGACTACGATTAAAATCAACTCCGACCACCTGCATGATCTGAGAGGGTCTGATCTTTTGTTCTTTCACATGTGAAAAATCCTAGCAAGCACGATCTCGACACGCGCAGACAAACATCATCATATGCAGGTCTCCGATAAGCGACGACGCAAAAACACAGACAACCGGGCGGATCGAGCAACGGGGCATCTGCGGATAGCGATGGCGAGGCAGGCCGCTTTTTCTGTCAGATCTTTTGTCGTTTGATGCCCAGACCCTTACATCGACTGCTCATCGTTTGCTGCACGATTCGATAATCAGGACATGCGACGAACGAAACGCACAGTCTGTCTTTTGTTCCTGTTTATGTACGTGCTTCCAGCCGACAGTCACTTGCAGCTGGAACTGCAATGTCATACATCCGGTGGGATACGTCCGTCTGCTCGTCGAGAAATGGGATCTGTGAGTGAGATAAGGACGTGAATCTTTCTGTGAGTAAAGGCACTCAACCAGAAGCACACTCGGACGGTTCGTCGTCGCGCGGCGGCTATCTTAGCACCTCATCGCTGCATCTGCAAGGTAAATCTGTCAAGCCACGCTCATTTTCACAACCTTAACCTAACCAATCCTTTCTCTCCCTCCCTCTGTCTGTTCTGTCGAGATACACTTTGGTGACAAGGGCGAAAGATCGTGCCCGCGCCCCATACAACCTGTCAAACCGGGATCCCCTCTCGCATGAACCGGCTTTTTCAGGGTAGCTTTTCATCCACTTTGGGCATCCGCGCGCGCGCGCCGCAGCTGTCAAAAGATAACAGCGGAAGGACGAGGCGAATCAGGAGCGAGATGATACGGGAAGCTCAGACTTGGGGGAGGAGGAGTAGCTCTCACATGCCAAACGCTTCAGCTCGTCTGCTCTGTGTGGAACTTCACGCACTGGCGGGATCTGGAAATCATGTTCAAAAAGTGAAGATCTGGCTGATGTGCCCACGCGTAAAGGAAGCACGCCAGCGTCTTGAGTTGGGGAAGCGTGCCATCAACGTGCCCTGCCAATGTGCGCAACATCAGGTTTCAATCCAAAGAGCCATGGTCCATACTATCATCTCTCTTCCTCTCATTAAAGCGTCCTTCACTCCTCTGCATCTCTAACACTCCACCCCGTCCTGACCTGGCCCGGCGTGCATCACGGAACCTGCTCCCGAACGGCACAGACATCTCTCTCACATGCAAGAAACGCGCCCGCCCAGACAGGTGCCCTGCCTCTCCATCGTACAAACCCAGAGTGAGAACTCTATCTAGCATGCACGTAGACACCACGCGAGACGTTGACCGCAGAAGAAGCAAATCTCAAGCCTGATGTTTCTGCGGCGGCATAAACACGATAAGCGAACGAACGAGCGTCTGTTCGATGACACCACGACCTTGGCCCAAAAACAAAAAACGAACCATTCTTTTGACGTGAACTACGAGGTGTCGTTTGTGTGTAACAAACGGCCGAACGACACGACACGGCTTGGCCTTCATCTTTGATGTTGTTTTCTATCGCCCAATGAGAGAGCTGCTCCTTCGTTGTATCATCGTCTGCGGTCTAGACTTCTCATACAACACAAATCCCGCCATCCTCCGACGTGTGCCGCATGCAACCCCAATTTGTCACCAATTCCCAATCCCAATGCCCACCACACGCCCTCTCGCCTTGCAACATCGCCTTGCACAAATTTGCATTGGGAGAATAACAAATTGATCCCCCGCTATCTAATTAGCGGCCGAGAAGGACGGGATGCACAATCAGAGACACAACCTCATCACCCCCCGCAAGACATGATCGAAACAGGCAATGTCCGTGATGCCACGTGCGGCGGCCGACGCAGTGAGCTGCTGCTGCTGCTGCTGCTGCTGGTTGCCATGCGCCGGAAGTGTAAAGGGCGCTCCCGCGCCGCCCCACGAGAGAAGCTCAACCTTCTGCGACGAAATACAGATTAGTGATATTGGGACATGCGCAAAGGTAAAAAACATCATTTTCGGTTCCCAGATGGACATGTGAGTTGCAATCGCCAGTGCGACGCTGCTGGACAGAAGGACCACCACCCAGGTTGATTTAGGGTTGTGGTGCTGTGTCCATGATGTATCCTGGTCAGGCGGCCCGGGCTCAGCCAAGACGGACGAACGAACCCATTGGAATTAAATATAACATTGATATTTCTCAAATTGCTGTGCCGCTCGAGATATGAGCAGGAGGGCAAAAACTGGGGGTTGCAAGCTTGGCTGTCATTCTGGCGGGGGACAGACCAGACAGGGAGGGGGGCGGCGGCACTGAGGCGGGTGGGTGGAGGTTCTCGGCCGTTTGCGAGACAGCTTCATCCTTGTCGCAGCAGCCATGCAAATCTGCCATGCAGGATGGTTTGAAGCATTGCTCGCCGCATGATCCATGCTCATCCTGACATCCGGCCCCCCTTTCCCTTCCCCATCGAACGCGTCGCCCGCCTCACAGTTCCTTGTCCGATCTCTTAAGCTCGCATCCGTGATTACTGTGTACATGTCCAGGCATCTTGCAAACCTTTTCTCATTGCTGTCAGATGTGTCTACCTCTCACGAAGAAGGCGTACGCATTGCATCTGCACATACTTCTGACAGAGTTGGCGAGCAACACTCTGACCGGAGGAAACCCCGGCGAACCAATACCCACCCACCGGAAAGAGGTGCCGCAACGGAGCAAAGGTCCGAAGTCAGAAATAGAAGAAAAAGAGGGTTTAGACGTTTTCTATCGATGAACAGAGAGAACGCTTCGATGGATGGTTTTCCGGCCGTTCGTGGGAAGAGCTCCATTGTCTCAGCGCCGTTGGGCAAGCCCCGTCCGCTGCCACTCTGGCCATAAATCACCTTATCTCGACTCAGAAATGGTATGTCAGTGAGTTTTCCGGGGCAGACAGACAGGCAGGGCTAGGCCCGGAATGTGCCATCGACTTCGGCCAGTGTATCCCGTCCTGGCCTACATTGTCTTTGCCTTAGCTCCAGTGTCTGAGGGTAGGGCTCACGGAGGTGGCTTCTCCCGCGCGGAGATGTCATTGGATCGCCGAGTGGTGGCAGCAGCAGGAAGAGAGACAGAGACAGGTCCCTTGGTGCTTTCTTTCTTTCCCCGACCGCACACATTCTCGTTACTCAGACACACACACACATAGGCCTAATTACATCGAGGTGCTGACTGACACTGTTGATGTACATCCGTCAATGGCCGGAGCAAAAGTCAACTGGCCAGGCAAAAAGTGTATGTCCACGTACCTTACCCTCCGCGAAATGGCCCTAGCATCCCACACAGGGCAAACCAGGAGGGAAAGCTTTTTCATCCTTTCCCTCCTACGGCCAAGTGCCGTGGGCGTGTGCTGCAAGACGGTTGATGGGGTGCGGGTGCATGTGCCTTGCTGCATCCGCGGCCACTGTCCGTCTCCTTGCACGCGCGCCGGCGCTTTTTCTTCTGATTTATTGTGAGAGATAATTACTTTTATGAACCGTAGATTTGCTTTTTTCGACTTGCTTCCGTGTCTTGTGTCTTGCATATTGCTCGATCAATCTTATTCCTCTCTGCGGCTGATCGCGCGATTCCCTCCTCCACTTGCCGACACCCACACACCAACACATGCATCAACACACCCCTCACCCCTGCCACGGCACCCCCCCTGCTCCCGTCCCGTTTTCCGCGAGATGTGCACCAGGTGCTAAGGCCCCCCTTGATGTCGATCCCAGAGCTGGCTGGCCCTTGTCGCGCTTTTTGAAGGGTGCCTTTCGCCCCCAAGTTGAATCGATTCTTCATTTCTTCCGCTGCTGTTGTTTTATCTTTTCGAGATTATCTGGCCAAGAGACGGTCAATTGATACAATTGGCATACCCATCATCGCTTGATCCCCCCTTGATTCCGCCGGCACCTGTCGTCGTCGTCGTCGTCCTACCTATCCTCCTCGACGGCACATCCATCCTCTCTCTCACCACTATCCTCGTATAACGACAGCAACAAGCCATCGGAACACACCAGGCGCAATGTGCCGCCTCATCCTCTTCGCGGGCACATGCACCCGCTGCAACCAGTCCCTGACGTGGGCCGAGCTCTCCCAGCAGCTCTCCTGCCTCGAGGCCAAGAACGCCGACGAGTTCGGGGGCTGCCGCCGCGGCGTCGACGTCGAGACGCACGCGTTCGACCAGGAGTGCGACGCCTGCGCCGGCGAGGACGAGGGCGTCGCCGGGATGGATTTCGGGGAGCAGCAATATCAGGCGGCGCAGTACCACAACCATCAACAATATCACGAGTATGCCCAATATCAACTCCAGCAGCAGCAGGGTCAACAGCACGATTTCGGGTCAGCATCATCACATTCAGCAACTACAGCACCGGGGTCGATGAATAAGCGGTCTGGTGCGAGAGACGAGGGGGAGGGGAGGAGGAAGAAGAGGGCGAGGACGTGAGTTTCGGGAGTACGAGAGGCTCGATTGGGAAGGTTATGATGATGATCTTTATGGAAGTTGGCCGAGAAAAGGATTCGATTTCGGGATTTGGGCGATGGCGTTTTTTGAAGGGACACGGTACAAGGACACCGGCATTCGGAGTACATTGGCAATGGAAGAAAGCGTTTTGAATTAGGGAGCGATGTTGCATTTTGGCATTTCGCATGGATACCAAGAGGACAGGCAGGGACGCATGAAAACCACATCTCGGAGGATAAGCAGCGAGACGGGATGTTTCTCGTTCATTCGCAAGGCAGCAGCAAGATGCAACAGGGAATTGATGAGCTGTTGAATGCGATCAGAAAAGTGTATGGGGGCAAAGCGACGGATACCCTTAGGGCCGCGGTCTAGGAGGCCTAGCCTACGTTAGTGGCGTGGCGATCGGGAGGGGCTGTTAGTGAGGGGAGCCGGCCGGCTTGGCTTGCGGGTGATCCCCACGACATGCGCATCTCGATGGAGGTGAAGTATTACGGCATCTCGCTTGGCGGCAGTAACGGCAGTTGATGAACAGCTTAATCAAAAGTTCGATCCAAAGCCAATGCACTTCGTGCTGATGATGTATGGCCCACTTAGACACGTCTTCAAGATAGAATTTCCATTGTTCTACGGCAAGTCTCTAACAGCACTTCATGTCCCTCCAGATGGACCAGCACCTCCAGGTTATGTCCCGCGACTTTCACTAACCCCTGACGGCCACTGGCTCCAGTCTATGTTTGTGGCATCCAGCAAAGGGTTTCCTTCCATTAAATCCCATTCAACCAGGTCTGGTTGATCATCCTGCTGTTGTGGAAAGTAGTCGTCTTGAACTGAGAACACTGGCAGCCCAGGCACTTGCATCTGTGGCATATCCCAAGACGGGATTCCAACGTTGAACGACGCGCCATTATCATGGTTCTCTAGGACCCCAAGATCCGGATTGTTCGCGTCTGACACATGGGCATCGATATCGACTGAGACCGGTCCATGCGAGGCGGCTTGAGGAGTAGCCACGTCTTGCTCGTCACGTCGATCTTGACTTTGCTGGTAAGAATGCTCCAGAAGTGGCTCCAAGTGGCGGAGGAAATCATGAAGTCGGCCCATCAAATCAGGAACAACATTGTCCAGGGCTCTAGCAGCTTCTGTCTCAAGTAGCTCACGCAGCCGCGGCGGAACCTCACGACGCACGTGTTCAGGCCATGACTCTGCTTGAGAGAGTAAAGATGTGTCTATGTCATAGTCTAGAAGGTATGTCAGTGATAATTAAGGCAGTATACTCCATAGTATCACTCACAAGGGGTCGGAACCTTATTATCCATTACATCAAAGAGTAGCCTGTAGATTTCTGTCCAAAACTCCCTCTCCGACTTTGCTCCTTTGGTCAAAATCTTCAGTCTTGAGGCTGTTTTATGGTTAAACTTGTCACATGGCTTTTGGATGGAGACAACTTTGCAGGGAGGTTCAGCCCTGGAATGGGTGTCAAATGCAGCATCCTCTTTCAGGTCTTGGTGACACCTTCTACATCTGTAGAGCGGTTTTTCGTGACACCGCAGTAAATGTTCTCTTGAGTCATGTTAGACCAAATTCCACAGAAGACTCAGTCACAATAGAAACTTACTTGACTCGGCGGACTGATTTCCACCCAGGTCCCATACAGGTTTTCTCTCGACGATATTTCCAGGGGTTCCACTTGAAGTAGGGGCAAGCGAACAACACTGGTGAAATCCTATTCTCAGAGGGTCTGTGCCGTTTCTTCGATTGGCCATCATCGCCGCTGCTGTCGCCATCACTATCATTTCTCTCTCGGCCCCGATCCTGCGCATCACGGCTTGGATCTCCCTTTGCTTCTTGTCTGGATCGCTTCGTGGTGTTGGAAGACCGATAAACTGCTTTGCCTTTGGCCTGTGACCGACTTGTCCCCGTATCGTCCGTGTCCATTGCGCCAGGAGTCTCGCATGTCCCATATGCTTCCTCCAGATATGCGTCCAAATTCAGGATGAAGTTTCTCATGATATCGTTAACAATCTCTTCCCGTTTCTCGTCCAAGGTTTGGGGCCTTCCAGAAGACGACACAGAAGTACTTTCTGCCGAAGAATCTTCCGTATCGCTTCCGAGACCCCTGTCAACTTCTGTCTCCTTAGGTTTCTCCTCGGGTATCGGGTTATCAGGCAATGATGCGTTCTCATTCACCGATTGTCGCTTGGAGCCGTCTGTCCTATCTTCCGAATACGTCCCATGAATTGGGCCAAGTGGTACATCTGACTTCGAAGCGGTATCTCTTAGGTTACTCTCGCCGCGATAAAAGAATCCGCTTGTACCGTCGTGACTGAGACTTCTTTTGAGTCGTAGTGGACCTTTGGCTGAGAATCCTGGTTGATACTGTCGAATGGGCAAAGACGCAATGGTTTGGTAATCACTTGTCTCGTCGAATTCGAAGCTTGGGTCCAATGTTCGAGTCCCTCTGCTGAAAATCTCCGCAGGCAGAATTCCCAGACGGTCGATGCAGTAATCTGGATCAAACCGCCCGTTTGCCAAACACTTGAAGATGCCCGTGATGAGATGACGGGGTGCAAGAAGCCTCTCACAATTTCTGAGAACTGCGCATAGAAACATCCTACTCGTCTCGTCACCATCGTCCACCAAGCTTGCGTTCTTCCAGATGGCGAAGATTGTGCCGAGAATGAAGGGGTGTTCGTCGACGATGATTCTTTCCAAGAGAACATCATCCGAAAGGTATTTCCAAGCAGGCGTAGACGTGATTTCCGGCATTGAACTGGTACGTGTGGCTTCGATGGCCTCAGTTGCTCCATGTGCCCAACTAAACAATCGCCAGCCGTTTCCGACATGGTCTGCGCTGTCCATGAAAACTTCGCCAGATGCCATCGCCTCTTTCATGTATTGGATCATGAGACGCGTCAACTTAGGATAGTCGGCTGCTGAATCTCCTCTGTTATCATTACTCAACAGATTGGTCTCGTTGAAGACTTCCAACTTGTCCGTATCTTTCCCAGACCCTAGAGAGATGGACGCTTGCGTAGAATTCTCCAGACCAGAAAGGGCCGACGATTCCAAGGCCTTCGTAGTCTCGGGGCTATGAAGCCTGTGGTTGCTCGCTGAGTCTTCCGGGCTCGCAGATGATTCCGGTTCACCTGTATTATATTTTCGCATCTCCCATTTCTCTAATCTGTACACCAGTTGTCTCTTTCTAGAGAATATGTCAGTTGAGAAAAAGGGGATGCTTGCACATATAACTTACGTGACTTGAATATAATGATGGTTTTTCAAAATTTCCCTTACCTCTTCCAAAGTTTTAGTTGAGTACAGCTCAGTAATAATAGGTTTAAGTCTCTCCCACTCGCCCTGAGGCTTCCTGCGAGCTCTTGTCTTGTTATTCATTGGTGCGCGGGGTGTCCTGGCGCTCTTCTCCATCAGAAAAGAATGCGTTTCGACGTTCTCTACCGTAGGAGTAGGGCGGGATTGTACGTGTAGTAGCTCAAGTAATACTGAAAAGTCGTGGCAAACTTCTTGAGATATCACGCTCGCAGCTTGATCGTGGTATATTGGGAAGTGTTTAATGGAGATGGCCATGAATCTATAAGACTGTTATGTGCGCAATGCGTCTTGCGCGCAAAAGCGCACTCAACCGCTTTCTATCCATGCTCAAATCGGCATAGCCAGTCAGGATCCGTGACGTGTTACGGCGCTTACGAGTTTCACGCGGCGGAGATGATTGGTAGTTGTCATCTATGCGGGGACTGAACCCGGGGGCCTGACTGTGCTGTGATTGTAAGGGCGAAGATGCCATTGGATGCAACTTCCTCCAAGAAAGCGTCCTTGTGGATTGCGCCGCGGTTGTCACTGCTGAGAGAGGCTTGGAAGAACGCTGGTTCTTAGTTGAGAGACTTCTACGATTATCCATGGATAGTACCGAGTGGCATGCCCGAAAGCCATCTTGCCTAAGAACATGTCAGGGCAACGATGTAAAAACGGCATCCGAATCTCTCATGCTCCTCTGCACTACCCCTGACTTGAGAAATGCAAGCTCACACCGTCCACCACCCCAAGATGACCTGGCCCTGACATTGAAGGCGCTGGTCTCAGATCATGAAGTCCAGCCCAGCCACTCACAAAACTCCGACCTAGGTCGTGGCATTGGTAGAGCAGGCATTTGCAGTCTAACGATCTCCATCTCTTCACATGGACATGCGGGCGTGGCCCAAACCGCTCGGCCAACAATGCGGCCCTCTTCGTCTACCAGCAGGCAAATGCCGCCTGGGTTGGTGTGAAAATAACCGAGCCCCGGAAATCGATACATTGTCATACCGTGAACTTGCGCACGATCATTCTCGATGAAAAGTCCAGCATCATTGACCGAAGCAGCACCACATGCTGCACATTTGACCCAAACACGGAAGCGGCGCCAAGTAAGGTGTAAGATGTTGCCGTGCCTGCCTTGGAAGTCATAGCGAGATTCTTCTCGCTCTGCCCATGTGTCTAGGATTCCCAGGGCGTCGATTATGTCAAATATATCATAGGGGCTCTCTTGGGGCCATGGCTGACCTAGTGGGACCTTGGATAGCGCGAGTATTGTCTGCTCTAGCTTTTGTCGGCGGTCGCCTGTTGACAAGGCTTCCATCATATTCTCCTCCGATTCAAACAATAGCCGCGAACCAAACGCCTCTGCAAAGCTATCCACGTTCGGCGTTGCAAGATTATAGGCGCAGAAGTGGGCAAGATGATCATAACGCCCATCCCACAACTCGGATTGATACACATTGCCGGCTCTTTGCATCTTGATCAGAACATCTCCATTGTCTGCAACGCGGAGAGCATTGTGGTGTTCTGGCTGTGATGTCATATGTCCCAAGGGAAATGCCTGCGACATATGTTAGTTTCTAATTGACTTTTTCTGCTGGCTTGAATATTGGTAATTGCGTGATGGCATTCTTCCGCTTAAAAATAGATGATGTCGAAATAAAACATCTCAGCGGCTCATGATCTAGGAAAGAGGCATGTGCAACATACAGAAAAGAAAAAAGTAGGAGAAAAAGCCGAAGAGATGCGTAGATACTGACATAGACATCATTGTAGCCCTCGTTAACATTGTTGGCTGGCATGTTTCGGACATCCAAACCATCATCGGGCCCAAACTCCGGCGTCACCAGCAACGGGGTATAGTCGCCATCTCTCAAGCAACGATGTGCCAGATTGAGGTACATTTCGTCCCAGTCGCAGCCGGCTAGCTTCGTAGTCGAGTAGCCGGTGATAATGCCTTGAAGGGCATAAAGGAAATCGTTCTTATCGCGGCATCCCCGACGAGACAGCAGAGCAAAAGCGAGACCGAAATTACGACTTTTCGAGTTCGCACGACACAGATCGAGTGACCCTAGATTCCAGGGCATGATGTTCTTTCCAATCTCAAGTCGCTCTTCGAGATCAGTACCCCCATTCTTCGCAATCTGCTCGCCCCAAAACTGATTCAGCTGCGGCTGATAGAGTTGCACCGAGTCCTCGCCATGCAGTTGCTTCTCTGAGTCCATGACCCGAACCTTGGTGCTTCGGATGTACTCCATTGCAGTCCAGACACGGCTGTACCACTTGGCGTTGCAAATTCCAATCATGCCCTCCAGACGAGCTGCCTCCTCTGTGGCATGGAGGAATTTGTCCACCATCGTCGGCGTGACATCGTCTAGATGAACGACAGTTAAAGTTGAGCTAGCATAGATCTTGTGCACCGCCTCGAGGATGTATGTTTTGAAAGTCGGCGACCACTGCCTTTGCTCATTAGCAAATCAAAGAAAGCTAGCAGGGAAGCTATCCTAAAGAGTGCGACTGGACTGTAGTACTTAGAACTCCAGTCTCTCTAATTTGATCGACCACGAAATTTGTCATTGGCCATGAAAAGCGTCGATTTCTCTGCGTGGGAGCTGCTTGGATATTACCCCGCACGCTTTTGTGTTGCAGTCTGCAGTCCACTCGCACCATGGGATAACTTGTACAACGTACCTGAGGCACGCTGATATAGTCATGCCACACTTCAATGTCCTGGCCTAATGCTTTAGAGATGTTCTGAGCTATCTCCGTCGGAATGCGGAAAACCAGACGCTGCAGATCCGGGCTATCGAGCCCCAAGCACTCTTGGTTTTGAATTTCCGAAATACCCTCATGCCAAACATGGGAAACGGTGGCATATTGAACATTGCCCTTTAGCAAACACGACAGATGACGATCGTGTAGTATCAATTCATGGTCGTCTGGGGTCCTGAGAATCCTGGTTTCGTGTTGCTGTTCCTTCCCGGGTGGGAGAACTTGAAAGGTTCGGACCATTGCCTCGCCAGAAATAATCTGCCAACACGCGCAACACCGGACACCAGGCTCATTGCCAAGGCGCCAGATATCTCTCAAGTCTGAGTACGGCTGGTTCGACATTTTCCGGATTTAGAGCTTAGGCTACTAGATTGTGTATGCTTGTAAGACGATCGCAACGGTCTCGGGCGTACAGAGGTGGACTATGCTTGCGTCAATTTCACAGGCTGTCAGCAAGGCTTCGGGAGAAAATTGCCGCATGCCCATGCTCAACTTCGCGGCTTAGGTATGTTCAAGGATCAGAATCCTCACAGTGAAGTGGGCCCATCGGGTGAGTCTCCAATATCCAGTGCATACGAGGTGGCACGTAGCCTCACCTGGTCACCTTCGTCACATTAGTACCGAGTCTAGTTGGACCGTTTCCCAATTATGCATAATCCGTTCATCCCGAGAGCCTGATACCCCTGCATGCTGACCACCAACAACTCGCTGCCAAGGCGCAGCCTGCTTCTTTCCCCAGCCTTCGTCCTTGCGGGTTTGCTTCCCATGGCAGGCTGTCCTTTGAATCGGGAATCTATTTATACGTTTGATGGGAATTTGAGCTCTGTTGAACAAAAAAGGGGCTTTCGTGTCCACCTGACTCACAATCTTTTCCTGATATATTTTTTCCCAAGTTCATCCCCAAGCAAGATCACTTTTGTTTATCAAACGAATGAACAAAAACCTACTTTTTGTTTCTATACACCGCTCTGAATCTCTACCAACATGGTGAATATAGAAATGAGAAGTCATCCCTATCAAAAGCTTCCCGAGACAGTTGCAAATACTCAAGTCAGAGCACCTCACACATGTCACCAGAACGTCGGACGGCAGCGTTGGTCGCGTCTGATCTCAGAGTGGTATCTTCTCTTTTTATATGCACTATTCTGCGTCGTCTTCGCGTTCAGCATGTGGAAAGGTCTTGATGGCAAGTCTTTCGCCGTTTCTGGACGCTCACTACGACTCGACAGCTCATTCAGACTCACCCAAACCGACGTGTCCACGATAATCTCAGCTTGCCTTGTCGCTGGAAGAGCCCTAGGCACTGCGTGGCAGGGCCTTGCTGCGTGGAGGTGTATCTTTATTCTATTTGAAAAGACTGGCCTCTCTCTCGAAGATGCTAATGTCGTGGGTTCCTGGAAGCTACCACCGTGGTCAATTATACGGTCAAGGTCATCATCCCGGCCAAATGGAGGTACCACGAGACTTCTTGCAATACTGTCTCTCCTTCTTGCCTGGCCTGAACAGCTCGCCAGTCCGCTGGCGACCGGCTCCGTGTCTTGGGTGCCAATCTTATCTTACGACACGGACTCAGTGAAGGTCATTTCTCTGGGCTTGGCGTCGCCTGGCGACGGATGGGCCAAGTACAAAAATGGCCTCAACATCCGCCGGGGCCTGGTCCAAATGGCTGCCGGATTCGCAAGCCCGAAGGCAATGACACCCCTCGAGTACAACAAGGGGTCCTTGACCCAAGCGCGTCGCATGGGAACTTTCCTCGGCTCTTACACCAACGGTACGGTAGTTCAGAATGCCACGGTGCCCATCTTCAAGATTGAGTCCTTCCAATGGATCACCGATGAATCGCAGATACCCCCAACGATTCTCCGGACCTTGCAGGATCCTAAGACCAAAAATCTCAAATTCGCCGAGGACGAGACGCAGATGACAAACGCCTTAGGGGCAGCAACTCTTCTGAAAGACCAGCCCTGGAAAGTGCCATCCACGGAGGCATTGCCCGAGGCAATCGAGGTTTTGAAGAAAGTTCAATATGCCTCAATCTATGTGTTTTCCGGAGGGAAGGAGGAGGAATACGATTGCCATAAAAGCATCGGCTACACCAATAACACCGAATTTGGCCCCCGCCGCCTGAGATCCATCTTGTTAAAAGCCGTCGCGAAGACCGTTCCGATTGCATCGCCGTTGCCAAGCTCAGGATCAGTGCAGGAATAACACACTGCAACTAACCGGGCCCAACGTCCAACAGTTCGCCATGCTTCATTGCCTCGAACATCATTATTTCCACGAGCGAAGAGGTGTTGCCAGACAACCTCACCGGAGAGACATTGGCTATGATGCAAGAGGTTCACACAGTTGTGGCATCTTTACGTATGAATGACCCAGAAACCTACATGGGGGGACTGGAAGATGCCCTGCGCGATTCGCTCGTTCGGATCTACCAAGGAACATGGAGTGCATTAACAGAGGCTTTCTCACCTAGCACCTTCCCGGGAGGGATCGGAAGACTCGAAACCAGAGGTTGGGAGCCAGTGGAGGCTCTTCGGGCGGAGGTTTCGCCTGTAAGGATTCTTTCGTGGTTAGCTACTAGTATTAGTATGTTGTTCATCTTTTCTAGTTTCTTAGCGTTAGTTCTCGACGCATTCTCTGATGGAAAGACGATAAGCAACCCGGTAATTGCAGCTGTTATGTTAGACAGCTCTGGGGTTATTGAAGCGGATGATACTGGTCTTTTTAATGCGGTGGATATCAGTAAGGATCGTGGGAATGATACTAGCGGAGACTGCGCTTAGAAGTCAGAAACGGGAGGGCTGGGACGAGCGACTACAAACATCCGCGATTAGTACCGGAGGAAACGTCGGCGGCTTATCTTAAAGTTAGTTGCAACTGCTAGGAGGAACTGCATGTATCATCCACGTTGATCATCTGTATTTCTTAAGCTTCTGCTCCGGACTCGGTGACTTGCGACAGCTTACTTAGACTTTGAATTCATTCCTACACCTTCTTGCAGCCGAATACGACAGGTTTTCTTCGTGATCCTCCGTCCTGCGAGCGAACACTCCTCTCATAGATGCTTCGAAATCGTCGAGTGATTACGAACTTGAAAAGCTCAAACATATGAAAGTCGTGGTGTTTGGGATCATGGCGGTATCACGAGTTGGTTACGTCTATTCAACCAGAAGAGATAATTAATGCAGCCCATTTCTCCTTAATGATATTCCTCTGCGCATTTTGAATGCGAGAAACAAGAGTAGCGATGCCCCTTAACCACTTCTCTACAGGTACATGAATGATGCTTGCTCACGATCTTCCTCCACGACTTCTACTACCTAGTCGTCATCAAACCATCCGCCAGGAATGCGGAGCGGCGGGTTCTCGATAAGATCCCAGAATTCCCCAGCGAACTCATACGCGTCAGTATCCCAGACAAGGTACCAGTCCTCAGGTCGAGGACCGTATTCAAACGAGACCAGCCGCATGTTAAAAGCCTCGTCCCTGTAGCTCCCTCGCAGCAACTCCGAGCCCCGCCGGTGTCGAAGAGGACAGCTCGAATAAAGATATATGGCGAGTTCCCGCCTACCGTACTCCGCCAGATCTATGCCCACAGACTGCAAGTCCTCTAACCAGAATTTCATGGCTCGAGACACCCCCTGTATCATCCAACGTGGTTCGCGACGTGCGCTCATATATCCACAGTCAAGACGACATTTATTGGACAAGCCGCAGAGAAATGGCGTCACGTCGTCTCGCATGAATGTACCCAACTCAGTGAGCTTCGAGAGAGAGATTCCAGCAAGATACCATCGCACAAGTTTCCGCCAGAAATAAAACTTGTGAAAGCGTCTGAGGCCGATCTTTCCCTCGGTTTTATCTCTACGAACCCACGGGCTGTCCCAACGACCAATAGGCGTCTCTATGAAATACTTCTCTGCAAGCCCTTGCAGACTTAACCCTCTACCTGGATTCAAGAAGCTTTTGTCATAATGTCCTTCAACTGCCCTCAAAGCAGCTGGAGTAATACCAGCGCTCAGGCTGAATTGCTCCAGTAAAACTTTTGGACTGACTTTGGACCACGAAAGGTATGCAAACCGAGCTTGAGGAGGCAACTGCAGGTACTCTTGGTATCGGTCCCCGGCCATTATTTGTATAACACCAGGAACCCTCCAGATGTAATCAGGAAAAGCGTATCTCTTGGACCTCCGAGCGCCAGAGAACATTACGTCAATCTCTTCCTCAAGAGCTCCCAAATTCATCATAATCTTAACAATTCCGGTGAGCGCCGTGTCGGAATAGCCGTACATTCCGTAAATATACTGAGCAGCTGATTGGCCATCATCGTTGGTTTCTTCAGGGCTCACACCCCAGCTTAGTAATGCTTTGAAGGTGTCTAATTTCCCGCCGTATGCTGCAACCTAAGTCTTTCTGTTAGCTTCTTCTGAAATTATGTATAGGATATAGTCATTGTACATGAAGTAGTGTTCCTCCCTGCTCATCACGATCGAACAGGGAGGCGTCTCCCACGGCTAGAGCCTTCTCAACATCCACGAGCTTGCCATATCTGACATCGTTGAATGTTTTGCTATAGCTATGTCGCTTAATCCATGGCTTTAGACAGATTTGCCAACCGACTTGGGCGCGGTACGTCTGCAAGTCAAAGACCCTTTGGGACATCCATCTTGGGAGCTGTAGGCGGACTTGGTGCACTACGGATATGTTAGCGCAAGCATTCATGTCGAAGTTGTGTCTCAATGAGCTTGCCGGTGCTATTTGGGAAAAAGGAATTCTGAGATTGCTTGTAGGTGAAGCCTCCGAAGAAAGGCGCCTTTTGCCACGGAAGAGGCTTCGGGCCCACCTCGTAACCCATTGGGCGTCTCATTTCGAACCGATCGGAATTGCTTGTGTCGGTCTGCCCCTCTTGCGAGTCATCCACAACAGTGTCCAGTGAACTTGGTCCCGAATCTTGAACCAGTTCTACTACAGGCTGAGACTTCATAAAAGCCCTACAAGAGTCAGTTTCTATTCACATTTTGAGCGAAGGTTGATGACACCCACATCATATAGCTGTGCTGCGACAGCGAGATCAGGTGCAACGCCCAACCGATCCGTTCCTGGTACTTCCGAATGTCCTCCTTCTTGAACGAGACCTTGAGCTTCGTGATGTTCCTTCTCGATCGCTTCGCAGTGCTGATCCTGGCCTGCATGTCCTCGGCCAAGCTCTCCAGATCATTGACAGCGTCTCGACAGTATTCGATGCTCGCATACAAATTGGTGGCATTGTTGGAGTAGACCTTGTGTCGCTGCTGTTGCACGAAATCGGCCTCCATCCCCGCCAGGACGGGCTTCAGGATCTCTAGCTGTCTCATGATGCGGTTCATCTCTTCGGGGATGTCCTGGATCTCGTCCCACAACTGCTTCAGCTTCATGACGCTGAGGCCGAATTTTCCCGCCAGCTCGGCGACTGCAATCGCGCTGCTGACAACACCGAGCACTTCTGCCATAGTTGCCGTTTGATTTGCGCAGTCATGAAGGTACCTTTGGGATTTCTCTCGAGACTTGAAACCTTCGACGCGCCTCCGGGGATGCTGCTCCCGACGACGTGACTTTGGAAGATGGCTGGGAAGTCGAACAACGAGTGATTTGGGGGGGAAACCAGTCAATCAGGGCTGGAGGCGGGGTTACGTTCGTAATAAGACCCACGGTAAGGTCGCGCTGAGAAGGCCTACCTGCTGAGCTGTAGCATCTAAAAACCAACAGCATTAGTGTTGCAGATACATGCATGATGCGATTGCATTTATGGCGTGTGATTCGATGGCGGCTGGCGGCTGGCGGGACCAACAGGGGACGTCTGCCCACCTTGTCAACCGATTGAAATTATCACTGGGCAATTCAGAATTTGGGCGAGTTTATGAATACGATATGTTGGTCCTTTATCTGGGTACGTATACTGCGAAGCTACTGGACTGAGAACTTACGGAGATGCTTTTACTGCTTTCCCCCCCAGTGTGAAACCCCCTGAACGGGCTCGAAACTCCCTCAACATATCGATTCCTTATTATCCACGCCGTTAGCAAAGGATTTAGCTGAGTTGTGAGAAACAATGGATAATGAGAAACTCTTGGCATCGTAGTCAGCTTTGACCTGACGGTAATCTAGTGCAGAAACTCAGACGGATCGTGATCCGCTCAATCCCTGTCGACATACCTTGAGTTTGTAGTTCCGACGCAGCCCCCCTGCACAAAGACCACGGCAAATTCACCCTGTTCGCGGGCACAGTTTGGGCAAGACTATGAGTATTTGACCTGGGCCCTCTACCGGTCAAGGAAAACATTACAGAAACCCCATACGCAAGCCCTCTGAAGATCATAAAGTCGATCGCGCGCCCTGGCCGATTGTCTGGAGGCGTGCAGTTAGAAGGTCTGTTGCACTAAGCAGGTGAAAGTCACTGTGGACTGCCAGAGGCCATCGACATGCCTTTAGGCGGCCATATACAGGGGAGTAGTTCTTTTGGTACTCGTTGGGCCCATCCATCCCCTGAGGACATAGGTCAAGCGCATGACGAACCGTCTGACAAGACGTTCAAGTATGCCGTACTTACTGGTGCCTCACACAGAAGCACAACCAACACTGGTGTGGGTAGACAGCTGTATCAATCTAAATTATGTATAAACGAAAGTATGTAGTTCTATGCATCATTCCCAATACACAAACGCAAGTTGCATGGATCACTGAATCGTTGGAGGCGGCGTCGGTTGCTTCTTCCGTCTCGGCGGCTCCACCTTGACCGGCTCCGGCATCTTCGCGACCTCCGCCTCTTTAATCTCGGCCTCCGTGACAACCTCGGGCTGCTTGACAAGATCAGACTCCTCCGCCAACTCGATCTTCCTCACGGTCTCATTCTGGTTGACCTCCGGTTTGACAGGCGTGGGCTGGAGCACTTCAATCTTGGCCGGCTCCGGCGCCTTCGCAACATCAGGCTTGGCCTCGACCTCAGGCTTCACCGGCTCCTTCACAGTCTCCTTCTCAACAACCTCAAAATCAGGCTCAATAACCTTGGTTTTTGTCTCCTCCACCCGGGGCGCCTCCGTCTTCACCTCCCGCTCCATCACAACCCCGCTATCCCTCCGCCCATCCCACAACTCCCTCACAGCGCCCCAGTACCTCTCCCCGTCCGTCCTCGCGTGCGCCACATGCTGGCTGCCCTCGAACCTCTCCCTGCCCACCCTGAACCCGACCTCCCGTGCCTCGTTGGCGTGCTTCTCAACATCCCCCCAGTAGATCATCTCGTCCTCGCGGCTGTACAGATACACCCGCCGCTGCTCGCTCTGCAGCAGCGCCTTCTGCTTCAGCGCCGCCCACATCCTGCCGAGAAACCCGTGCCGCCCGCCGAACGGCACCTGGAAGATCCAGAACCAGCCGATGAAGACGTGCACCAGCGGCGCCAGGAACCGTGGGAACACCGCCGACAGCGCGCGGTAGCTGCGCATCCAGTGGAACCCGCCCGGGCACGAGTCGTACACGCTCACGTGCGGCGGCAGGTTGTCAAGCCCCCGGCCCGCGCGGTCGGCGGCGGCGTAGAGCTCGAAGAATTTCGAGAGGTTTGATGCGCCGCCGTTGGAGAAGACGTGCAGCAGCAGCTGGGGCCGCTTCGTCTCGCCGGGCGGGGTGGCGTCCGCGAGGGCCCGCACGACGGAGACGGCGGGCTTGATCTCGCGCTTGGCGATGCGCACCGAGAGCGTGTGGATGAAGGGGCACTTGACCAGCAGGATGCGCGCCGTCGGGTAGATGGCCATGTAGCGCGAGGTGTACTTTGCGATGTGGACGTCCTGGGCGGACATCCAGGCGAAGATGGCGATGAGCTGCGGGGAGCCCGGGTCCGGGGCTGCCGATGGCGGCTCGTAGAGGAATGTGTTTGGGGAGAGGGCCCTCATCTGTGGGAGAGCTCCTTGGGTGGATAATTGGTTTGAGGCCATGCTGGGTGATGTTTTGGCGCTCGAATGGCGGCCTCGGATGTGCTGGAGTGAGATGGGAGATGATGGTGAGTGGGAGTGTGGAGGGAGTGAGGTCGGATATAAAGTAGTGGACCTGAGGTCATGGACGAGACACTAGTTGCATTTAGACGCTGCAAGTTCAGCCTTAAGTTGTGTCTTCTTGGGACGTGTAGTCATGGCAAGGTTGTTAAGGTTGGCAAGGTTACCCCTTCCGGCAACTGCCTCGGCTTGAAACCCCTGGTCGGCGGGGTTGCGAATCCATCCTCAACGGTAATCTAGAGGATTCTCTGAAGGATCGCTGTTGAGAATGGGTCTACGATTCTAGGCGTTCACTGATTGCAAATCGTAGCGGGGAAATGGCGCGGATTGATATGGAAATATGAACCCAACGGGCCGGCGGCAAGACAGCAACAGCCGTCTCGGCGAGATGGGGTAAACGCTCCGACCACTAGTCAATGCAGGCCGATGAAGCTGGCGATTGAGCAATCGTCAGGCTTGAACGATTTCATGAGTTGACGTTTAATTAATTTAAATTTGAATACGGTGTGGCAGCTCTTACCAAGCCGTTGCATGGCAACTGTTCGTACGAAGATGGCATCAATTGTACCACAGAGACGTGCTGCTCAGTTCAAACCATGTGAAGGACAGACTGTTTCAGCCGAAGTTGTCAACGGTATCCCAGCTAACAAAGTATTGAATCACCAGTCAGCCTCGTTTCCCGTACTAGTCAGTTCAGTTCAGATGAAGTTCCATAGGTGACATGGAAGCAGTCGTGACAGGCCGGGAAGAACATTATGTCTACGAGCGCGGCAGGGGGAAGGCTATGCGGACGATGTGCCATCTCGCATACCGCATGAATGACAAACACACCACACCTCGCGGCGTCTGGCAGGCGTCTATCTTACTTAGCTGTGGCAAGGAATGTTTGTCCCGACATGAGTCTGCACCACGGCCGCCTTGGCTGCAGCTGCCAATGTGCCAGAAGACCCTAGAAGAGGCAGAAACCCCAGGCGCCTCGCCGTTGGAATTCTTCGTTCCAAAATTTTGATTGCCCATGTCCTGACGGCTGTGTCCTGACAACTCGCCCCTGGATGGCACCTCGGACGGCAGCTGCAGGTTCCCGTTGAGCGTGGACACCACAGCTGGACGTCGGACGTAGACATTGAACCGAGATTGAGAGCTGCGTACGCCGTTTTGGACCAAATCCAGGACTGTTTGAAGGTTGGTACATTGTCTGGATTTTCCCGACAATCAATCGACTCCATGGCTGTTAAGAGACGGCGATTAGTATAGATGCCGTTCAGCGAATTCAACATTCACGACCGGCCAGTCGTTTGAGCAGTGATAAGTGAACGGTCTAAACCTTGAGTCGCATCACAGCTCGTGTTGTGAACATGTGCAACTTCAGTCGGGTACATATTCGCGGCCAGCCCCGTTCGTTCCGTGATCCCGTCAGACGGATGAGAGGACTTGAACGGTTCCAAGTCCAAAGGCCCGATTGACTTGGACGAGTTTGGATCATGAGGTCGGGGCGAGTGCGGTGAAGGAAATGAGTCCAATGGCAAACAAACGGGTGATCGGTAGTTGTTGACTCCCTTTAAAGTCACGATGCATCTGATGGAGGAAGACTGGGCACGGGTTAGCTCCGTCATTTGAAGATGAACCAGAGAAGGAAGACGTCTGGGTTTACCTGAGGCAGCAAGGACATGTATCACGACAAACAGGGAAGCAGTTGCCGTTTCCATGAGCTCCTCCCGGATGCGACGAGGTTACCGAACGAGACAGGCGCAGGGTCGCCCCTATCGTGACTTCTGCGACGGCAACCACCCTCTCGGCCCCTTCCCCCTTTCGCGAGCCACGCCTTCCCGGCGACACAGATAACTCAGGAGGAGGAAGCGACTTCCCGACGACTGCCTCCCGTCGTCAGATGCCGCACTGAATCTGACGCACCTTCCATCTCTCTGTCCTCGACCCCTCCTTATTACCTCCCTCCTTCGTTCTAAGATTTCGAATCTCGTCTTTTACAACCCATCACTCCTTTCTCTCCAGCTGCCTCACCCAGAGACTCCAGCTATTGAGCCACTCTTTCGTTCACTCTCTTGTTCATTCTCTCGTTCCACCAGACACTCTTTTCTTGTACATTCCTTCCAGGTCTCTCTGCCATCCATCGCCATGAGGGTCGCCCATGTCCTCTCCTCCCTCGTGGGAGTTGGTGTGCTCACCACTAACGCTGCTGTCATCGACAAGCACAAAACCAACAGCATCGAAATCATCAGCCCCCTCAAGGGCATCAGCTTCCAGCGTCTCAAGGCTCATCGTGAGCCTATCGCTGAGGATGTCCTCGGCCGTACCCAGCCTCTCAAGGCCTTCCGCGGCAAGATTGCCGGCCACAACGCCGCCACGGCCCTGCAAGCTGCTCAGCCCAAGGACCTCTCCAATGCCTACCAGAACATCACTGCCCTGACCCCCTACGGCACCCAATACTCCATCGAGGTCATCTGGGATGGAAAGCCCCTCAACATGCTGTTCGACACTGGCAGCAGCGACACCTGGGCTGCCAGCACCAATCTTTCCTGCGTCAGCATGACGGGTACCGTCGCCTACCCTCAGGAGGCATGCGCCTTTGGCCCTGACCTCATTGACGGATTCAAGTACGGTCCTGTAGAGGACATCCATTTCGCCCTCAGCTATGGCTCTGGCGAGAAGGCGTCGGGCCCTATGGGATACAGTGACATCGAAGTCGCTGGCATCGTCGTTCAACAGCAGCAGGTTGGCCTTGCCAATCTCACACACTGGTACGGCAACAACTACACAAACGGCATCCTTGGTATGGCCTACCCTTCCATCACGAGTGCCTTCACTGGCGATGCCACCGAGAAGCGTCCTGCCTTCCAGGTGCCGTACCAACCCTTCTTCACCAGTATGGTCCAGCAAGGACTCTCTGCAGACTCCTTCAGCGTGGCTCTCGTCCGCAACTCCTCTGGTGTGATTGCTTGGGGTGGCCGCACTGGCGTCACCATCTCGAGTCCCACGGCCTACACAGACCTCATCATCGTAAGTCGCCTTCCTCGTCTTCCCTTCACTGATCGCAACCCCAGCTGACATGCCGAAAGACACAAATCAACACTGAGCGACCAGAATCCGCCTGGCAGTACTCGTACTACACGATTCTTGTCGACGGCATCAGGTGGGGAACAACGACAGACGAGAGGAAGTTCCCCTACATCGTCGACACGGGAACCACCATGATGTTCGTCCCTCCTCCTGTCGCAGAGGCCATTGCCAGATCTTTCTCCCCCAGCGGCATCTACATGTTCCAGTACGGCTCTTACTTCGCGCCCTGCGACGCCGTTGCTCCGCGTGTCGCGGTGGTCATCGAGGGCAACAGCTTCTGGATCAACCCTGTGGACCTCATCTTCCGCAACATGAAGGATCAGCTCACTGGATACTGCCAGATCGCCATCACAACTGGAGCTACTGGTCCATATGTCCTAGGATCCGTCTTCCTGCACAATGTCGAGGCTTATTTCGACGTCGGCGCTGCCCAGATGCGATTCTACTCCCGGCAGACCTTTGGTCCTACGCCCGAGGCCTCAATTGGTCCGGATCGTGTGTCGGTCTAACAAGTTCAAGAGTCCCGGTTTATTTTCTGACGAGTAGAGATAGGTGTGGATGAGATGCATCAGTTATCATGTCGCGCATCAGAATTGTCGAGAGATTGATTTGCTCCAAGCTTCTGGGGTCTGTGGGACCAGGAAAATTGCTTTGCCAGAGATGTGGTTGTCGGTTGCTAGATACTTAGGTTGGCAGAGTTCAGTCTAAGCATGCCACTTGCCTCATGTTTCCTTTGATGAGTGATTCTCTCGATTCATGGTCCATGATGGAGCTCCCTTGCCTCGCTCAGTGACATTTTGGGTAAGTGGACATCATTGTAGCTAGGCAGTGTAGCTTCCCAGATGCATTCACAGAGACGGCAGGCAAGCAAACCTAGCGCAACTGGCGTTCCACAGTGGACAGTGCTGAAACCAGAGGGCGACTCGGGACTTATCGGAGTGGCGACGGAGTGCTTATCGCAGACACAGTAGCCTTATCGATAACGGGTGTGACCTCACCGGTTCATGGGTACGGATTTCTGCCACTTCATTCAACAGTTCGTGATCCAAGCCTGTTGCAACCCTTCGCCTTCACCGACTCGCCCTGCCTGACGACACCTGGAACCCCCTAGAGGACACAGGTACCCCTTCTTTTGATTCCTCCTCTGCCTCCTGACTTTCAATCCTTCCATCGCATCTCTCCTCGCCCTCACGATCGGCCGCCCCTTACCGCCCGGTGTGTGCTGCGGTTATTCGGCACTCGCTGCACCGACCGACACTTGGTGCCCTCCGACATCCTCCGCTATTCGTCGGCAAAAGGAAATTCCAGCAGCATCTGGAAGTTCGACACCGGGGCAAAGCTTCTGACAGCAAGGCCAAGAGCGAAGCGTTTCCAGAGCCTCGGAAATTTTGAAGCTTTCCAAATCGGACCAGCACCTCAGCCAGTATGGGTATCGGAGTAATCCCGGCGGGTGCGCCCCTGGTGGACGGCAAGCGACAGCCCAGGAGGCAGCATACCTGGAGCTTCAGCAAGGTACGATCAGTCTTTGATTTCCTTCTGTTGCTTTGTTTCGAGAGTGTTTGGTTTGAAATTGTATTCCGATTTGTCTTTCAGCTTTGTCACCTTCGGCCACCCAGGCGATCCTCGGTGAGGTGCGGCTCAGTGAGAGTCGTGCAGCAGCCACTTGGCTCTCAGAGCATCAGAGCCTCCGATGTTCAGGGACTCGATTTTCCATCCTTGCCGTCACTCTCGCCCCCAGCAGTCTTATTTTTTCCTCAATTGCGCCCAGGCGGTGTGAACAGTCACGCAGGGGGCTCGCTGGCATCTGAGAGAAAAACGACCCCTGAGAAAAGGCCCTGCTGGTTGATACGATCTGGCAATCGTGCCGATTTGCTGGGCCGCCCCCGTGTCGCGTCCCGGCCGGCTGGACTTGCTGGTTCGGAGCAGAGCCACCCAGCAGCATAGGCCCGGCTGGGCTAGAGTGGGGGTGCAACAACAGGATAAAGGAAAAGCCCCCTGACGCGCGTGGTGGTGAGGATTTACCAGCTGCGCAAGTGCAGCAGTATCAGCGGTGTAAATTCTCAATTCCCATAATTTTTTTTTTCCGTCGGCCCAGGTCAGGAGACCCCTTTGGACCGGATGACCTTTTCCCCTGGCGAATTGTACGTGGGGGGATGTCAGGTGCTAGTGGCCAAGCTTGGCTGGCTTGCTCAATTGAGCTGCTGTCTGAAGGCCTTTTCCGTTCTCCTGGCAGAGTGCTGCTGCTGCCGGCTACATGTTTGCACGGCCGGCGTTGTCTCGGTAGTGGCCGGGAATGATCGGACGGAAGAAAAGAATGCATGTTGGCTGGGAGCAGAAGCAAGAATTGGCAAAGTTGTCGAAGGAACAAGAAGTTCTTATTGTTTCTGGAAGTTGAATTGGAATTTCAGTGGTTTACTCTTTTCTGTTGCGACATGAGGGATTCCTTCAGTTTTCGTTTGCAGCTGTGGCTCCGTCATCACCAAAGGCAATTGCAGCATGCGCACAGTAATGCATCCCGGCATCTCTCCTGACGAACCGGCTATGACTGGCGAGTCGGATGGGAGTGTATTTGGCCGTGGGCTGATCTCCACCTCGGCTGTGTTCGGTGAGAGAGCGAGACTTGAGCAAAAGTGCAGGAATTAGCTGGCCTTCACTGGCTGATGAGCGCTGCGAGACGTCCCGTTGAATGCGGGGACGGGGAGCTGAAGCTTGGAGCTGTCACGTTGTGCATATTTCTCAAGGAGATGGAGGCACGGTAGAGGTTCTGGATGGGCTGCTTAGTGGCTGCCCGCCCACCCCCAGGCTGGAAAAGTTCAGGGACCGGAGAGAAGCGGGCACAGGAACGCCAAAATGAGGGGCATCGGACGGGGGGATTGGAGTTGGCATGGGGTCATGATGGAGGGGCGGGCAGGCCACGCCGAGGCTTCACCTTGCAGGACCTGGACTGCCTTACACTACCTTACCTAAGTTACCTTTCCTAAGTTCATGTCAAGACGGCGGTGCACAGCAGGAATGGGCCAATAGTCAGCAGTCTCTGCAGGGTGGTGATCTGGTGCGTCTGCTGCTGCTCCTGGGAATCCCGATTGCAGGGAAAGGAAACATGGAAACATGCAAGCAGCGCTCTGCAGAGTGCGACAGCTGTGTCCGTAGCTGGTGCGCCTAAGTCTGTGAATCCGCCCCAGTGGGTTTGACTCTCGGTTCCGCCATCTGTCTGACCTGATGAGACACCAGACTGATGCGACGAGGTGGGCTATCGTCTATTATGGCGGCAGCTGTTCCCTTTTCTGCAGTTGCCTCTTGCCCGGTGTCAAGTCTAGAATCCAGTCCAGTCACTGCTAAAGCAGCAGTTTGGATTGACTCTAGCCTAGCCGGTGGTTCGCAGCTACCTACCTTTCCTTACCTCAGTCACTCAGTCACTCACGCTACCCTCGGGATAGCCTCTCGGCGTCCCCTGCTTCCTTTTACGTACCGCTCTCTCAGTCCCCTTCCGTTTCTCCAGACTCGTGCACGCTGCTCGCCCACTCACTGCTCTCTTCCCTCCACCCTCACATCACAGTGCTGCCATCAGATCACTTTACTCTCAAAACTGCCCCCTCACCCCGTGCATCTCTTTTCAACTTCTCTACAACATCAAAACAGCCACACCTGTATTCCCACGCTGTCAACGTATACCGTATACGGCCATACATACGCAAACAGACAAGGACCCTGACCTGCCGTCCTGGGAGTCCTACCTCACGCCAGCGCACATTGTCTTTCCCTCTGTCCCCTGCTAGCGGCTCTTGCAGCACCTGGGAGGTAGCTGTCGTCGGGTCGAGAAGTGCCTCCACCCCGGCTGTGCTCCAGGCCACCGCACCCGCCCCCGAACCTCACACCGGGGGGTTCCGCCTTTTCTGGGCGTAGAGCTATCGCCTCTGCTGGAAGCATCACGCGAGCTGCCTTCCGTGCCCGCCGCAACTTCGCGCCTTCTTGATCCTGCTGTCTCTGTTCGCTTCTGCATGGTCTTCTTCACGCGTCGCTCCTCGTTGTTTCTCTCGTCGTAGCAATATCTCAGAAATAAACGTGCACGTCGACGAGCCGTCAAGATGCCATCAGCCAAGACTAACGGCATCGGCATCCAGGTGGAGGACCTCAAGATATGTGTCGTCATGGTCGGTCTGCCCGCCAGAGGCAAGAGCTTCATCGCCCAGAAAGGTATGTTTACAACGCCATCACACAAGCTTCGGCACGACTCGCGCTTCGGGGCCCCCAACTTTCAGGAAATCGTTACTGACCTTTCCAGCGCAACGGTATCTGGGATGGCTCTCAATCAAGGCCAAGACCTTCAACGTCGGCAGCTATCGCCGCCAGGAAGATGCCCACCCCTCGGCTGACTTCTTTGACTTTCACAACGCCGAGGGCGAGCGGAGACGTCGCGCCGCCGCCGAGAAGGCCATCGAGGACATGCTGGCTTGGTTCCGCCAGGGCGGTGTCATCGGCATCCTCGACGCCACCAACTCCACCAAGGAGCGCCGCAAGTGGGTTCTCGACATCTGCACCAAGGAGGGCATCGAAGTCCTCTTCGTCGAGAGCAAGTGCGACGATGAGAACCTCATCATGGCCAACATCCGCGACGTCAAGCTCACCTCCCCCGACTACCAGGGCCAGGACCCCGAGGAGGCGGCCCTCGACTTCCGCAACCGCATCCGCAACTACGAGAAGGTGTACAAGTCGCTCGACGAGGACGGCGACGAGGATGAGTACACTTACCTCAAGATCATGGATGTCGGCAAGCAGGTCATCATCAACCGCATCCAGGACTACTTGCAGAGTCGTGTCGTTTACTACCTGATGAACCTTCACATCCGGCCTCGTTCCATCTGGCTGTCAAGAGTGAGTCTTTTGTGAGTGGTGAGTGGGACCACACTGACGCGGAACAGCACGGAGAGTCCATGTACAACTTGGACGGCCGCATTGGCGGTGACACAATGCTCTCGCCTCGTGGTGAGCAATATGCCAGGAAACTTCCCGAGCTCGTCAGGAAATCAGTCGGCGTAAGTAAGCCCGCACTCGCATCCCACCCCATGCTCACATCCACAGGACGACCGTCCCCTCACCGTTTGGACCTCAACACTGAAGCGCACCATCGCCACCTCCCGCTTCCTTCCTTCCGATTACAACCAACTGCAGTGGAAGGCTCTGGACGAGCTCGACTCTGGTGTGTGCGACGGACTGACCTACCAGGAGATCAAGGACCGTTTCCCCGAGGACTTTGCCGCACGCGACGAGGACAAGTACAACTACCGCTACCGCGGCGGCGAGTCCTACCGCGACGTCGTCATCCGGCTCGAGCCCATCATCATGGAGCTCGAGCGCTCCGAGGACATCCTCATCGTAACCCACCAGGCCGTCCTGCGCTGCATCTACGCGTACTTCATGAATAAGTCTCAGGCGGACAGCCCGTGGATGAACGTGCCGCTGCACACTCTCATTAAGCTCACCCCGCGTGCCTATGGAACCGAGGAGGTGCGCTACGAGGCCAACATTCCGGCTGTTAGCACCTGGCGCGGCAAGGGCTCCACGGCCAAGCATGAGAACCCGACAGCGGAGTGTACGTGAACCAGAGCGAAATGGATATGAATCATGATGAGAAAGAGCAAGTTTGACTAAGGCTGGATGCAGGAAAAAATAAGTTGAGGCGATGAGCGGATCGGCGTATGGGGGCCATCGGGTCCCACGAGAGCGTGCGGCGGATTTCCTTTTTCTTCACTTGACGACGACAATGTCCTTTCCATTCCAACTCGGCATTCTCTCATCCCACGGCGTTTAAGGAACAACGAAAAGAAAAATACACGCGCAAACAGGAACATTTCCGGCGGTAAAAACGCAGGGAGGCGGCATATCAAAGGCGGGGGTGTCCGACAATCATTCTCACATGGAAACATCATGTTGCTTACTGGCCTCTGAGCGGTCGCCCGTCGTGCTCTGCGATGGTCTCGTAGATTCGGACGTAGTGTGACCCCTCGAAATTGGCCCTTGTCAATGCTTGCTTTTCTTGCTGGAGATCCAACGATAAGTCTAGGATTCATGAAAGTCTCTGGCATGAGGCGGCCGGATGCATATGGTTCTTGGTGGTGGCGGGGGGGGATAGGCATAGAGGTTCTTTTGGGACCGAGGTTCACGGAGGGCTTTCTTTTATGGTTGATCCCTTCGTTTCACCCAGTTTATTTCTCGTCGAGAGTTGCATCTATGTAACAATGACCGTTGCATATCTGAGATGGGCGTCGTGCCTAATGAGAGGCTAGTTTGTTCACTTTCAAGTCTACAATGCCATTAGTGTCATAAAATCAGAGACGTGGGCCTCTGTCGAACGCGACAGGCGACGTCATCTTGTTCGTTTCGTAGTAATATACCTGCGACTTTCGCCATGGAGCATTGGATTTGATTGCCGTGTGTTTAATTGGGCGATCTGCCGGGGAATTATCAGCTTGCAGACAGTCGCTAGCTACGGTGCTTGTCGCCATCTCCCAGCGGTGCATCAAAACGATCCATACACTTTGCAAAGCCGGAACATTTAACCCAATCTTCGCAAAATGGCAAACGTGGAAGAGGATGATGCCTCCCTTTTTTTTTTCTCACGCATCCAGTTATAAATCCAACATAGTTGACCATTGCATACGTAGTAGCTCTGTTCAGTTGAGAGGCTCTCAAGGTGGAAAAATGGGCTTGAAAAGCAGGCAGATAACGGCAGTAAGGTTTCTACTTCCTTGGCCCCCACAAGACAATAAAGGCTCGAGATTTTCCTTCCGCAAGAGTAGAATATCCTCAACTTCCTCAACTACCACCATTCCCAGCTCAACTTCAAGGCCAGCGACGGCGTGATAATTAGACAAGTGAGAGGGCCCTGATTGAGGTACGTACCTTCTCATCCCTCTGATCTGCCCCGCACTTTACCGGACCGGATCAACCACACCCGCTATCGCAAAAGGAGCTCCACTAAATTTTCTCCGCGATAAGAAAAAATTCCCATTGAGACCCTCCAAACCAGCGGCTCGCAAAAGTTGCAGTCCTCCCGCCCAAGCGCAGCTTCCTCACAACCACCACCACACACACAGCCGCAACCATGGACGCCGCCGCCAGCAGCAAGAAGCGCAAGCTCCGCGACGCCAATGGCTCGAAGCCGTCCAAGAAGCGCTCCTCTTCCGGAGCAGCACCCTCCCCCGCCGCAAAGTCGAAGAAGCTGAAGCGCACCGCGCCCGCGCCCGCCTCCGACGACGATTCTGAGAACGAGGATGCCGAGGAGGTCGAGTCAGAAGAGGAGGAAGACGCCGCAGAGACCGCCGAGAACTTCAAGGACGCAGAAGACGACGACGGCGCCGGCTCGGACCTCGACGACGACGTCAAGGCCCCCGCCGCCGCTCCCAAAACCGCCTCCTCCGCCTCCGACCTCCCCAACGCGGACGCCCTCTCGCTGCCCCAGGTCGGCGCCGAGGCGCACGACTTCGCCGAGCTCAACCTCTCCGACAAGACGATGAAGGCCATCGGCGAGATGGGCTTCACCAAGATGACCGAGATCCAGCGCCGCGGCATCCCGCCCCTGCTCTCCGGCAAGGACGTCCTCGGCGCCGCGAAGACCGGCTCCGGCAAGACCCTCGCCTTCCTCATCCCCGCCGTCGAGATGCTGTCCGCCCTGCGCTTCAAGCCCCGCAACGGCACCGGCGTCATTGTGGTGTCGCCCACGCGCGAGCTGGCTCTGCAGATCTTTGGTGTTGCACGGGAGCTGATGGCGCACCACTCGCAGACGTACGGTATTGTCATCGGCGGCGCGAACCGCCGCGCCGAGGCGGACAAGCTGCAGAAGGGCGTGAATCTTCTTATTGCCACACCCGGCAGATTGCTCGACCACCTGCAAAACACGCCCTTCGTCTTCAAGAACCTCAAGTCGCTCATCATCGACGAGGCGGACCGCATCCTCGAGATCGGTTTCGAGGACGAGATGCGCCAGATCGTCAAGATCCTGCCCAAGGACGACCGCCAGACGATGCTCTTCTCCGCGACGCAGACGACAAAGGTCGAGGACCTCGCGCGCATCTCGCTGCGCCCCGGGCCGCTGTACGTCAACGTCGACGAGAAGCAGGAGCACAGCACCGTCGCGAACCTGGAGCAGGGCTACGTGATCTGCGACGCGGACAAGCGGTTTTTGCTATTGTTCAGCTTCCTGAAGCGCAACCTCAAGAAGAAGGTGATTGTGTTCTTTAGCAGTTGCAACTCGGTCAAGTACCACGCCGAGCTGCTGAACTATATCGATCTGCCGGTGCTGGATCTGCATGGCAAGCAGAAGCAGCAGAAGCGGACGAATACGTTTTTCGAGTTTTGCAATGCGAAGCAGGGGACGCTAATTTGCACTGACGTTGCTGCGCGTGGATTGGATGTGAGTTCCTGCTCCCCCCTTTTTCTTGGGTGAAGAGACAATGTGCTAATCGATGCTCGACAGATCCCCGCCGTCGACTGGATCGTGCAGGTCGACCCCCCCGACGACCCGCGCGACTACATCCACCGCGTCGGCCGCACAGCCCGCGGCGCCAACTCCAAGGGCCGCAGCCTCATGTTCCTGCAGCCCTCCGAGGTCGGCTTCCTCACGCACCTCAAGGAGGCGCGCGTGCCCGTCGTCGAGTTCGACTTCCCCGCCAACAAGATCGCCAACATCCAGAGCCTGCTCGAGAAGCTGATTACCCAGAACTACTACCTGAACAAGAGCGCCAAGGACGGCTACCGCAGCTACCTGCACGCGTACGCGAGCCACTCGCTGCGCACGGTGTTCGACGTCAACAAGCTGGACCTGGCCAAGGTGGCCAAGAGCTTTGGGTTCGCGGTGCCGCCGCGGGTGGATGTCACGGTGGGCGCGAGCGGACGGGGGGAGAAGAAGGTGCAGGGAAGGCGGGCGTATGGGAGCCAGCCGAAGCAGGGGACTGGGGGGTATTATAAGAAGAGGTGAGATGAGATATGCTGAGAGATGTTTAGACGGGAAGGGGAACAGATGAAAAGAGGAAGGCAAGGCATCCAACTGTGAAAATAGCACGGCGTCGAGTTTTTTAAAATGGTAATTTGGGACTTTTTCTATTCATGAGACGGATCCTTGCTGATGTGACCCGAGCTACTCGCGGAGGGGGTGTTGAGAGACGTATATAAGGGCAGTAGCTCAGCAAGACCATTTCTTCCCAAGCCAATCTTGTCGGGTGTGAGATCACTGACGAGGGGAAAGATCGAGACAGCTCAGGTGAGCATTGCTCCTTGAAGCCGGCTGCATGACTGCCCCTGCAGGCAAGGACTTCGCGCACTCGCTCGCTTGCTCGCGGCGACGGACGGCATCTCCAAACGTTGCTGCTTTATGTGTATTTCGCAGCGGTACACGAAATAAGTGCATGCTGCACATAAACACAGGTGAGGTACAGCCCTCTCATGCGGCGTATGGTCCATCAGCAGCCCCACGCGGACGCGGCGAGGACTCCAAGTTTCCCTGGCACAAGCAACTGCAAGAGCATTCCTCTTACTTCTGGCTCCATTTTCTGCGTTCCAGGGAGGGGAGGGGCTTTTATCCTCGAAGTCTGGACAGCTGATGAAATCCGAGGTGAATGGTGAACGAGGCTTCGTTTCTGCATATAAAAGCCCGGGGCAACTGGCCGTTTCCATCTTGCAACAATGGACGCAATTTGTGGTAGACATATCCATGCACATTGAGCTTGGAGCAACTTTCCGTAGGCTTCTGTCTGACCTGAAGTCGTGGAGTTAGTCTCTCGGAGTGAGGGAGCAGAGAGCCAGCTCGGTTGGCTCTCGTCGTCCGCCTTGGGCTTTCGGCGTGTATCGTCGGGGAATATCTCAAAAACACGGAGGTAGATAACGGAGGTAGATAAGAGGCCGTACCTGCCGTGGAAGCCCTAATCTGGCCATCGTTAGGAGCCAGAAAAGGTGACATATGGTGCCGTTTCTTTCTGCTACTGGGTGCCGTGGAAGGATTCGATTTTGTTTTGCTCCATCCAATTACGTGTGACTTGAGGTGCTATATATATTCCTCTGGAGTTAAACGTTTTCTGTTAGCTTGTGGACTTGAACGACAGCCGCGTTGACTGACCTGTACCGTCCAGGCATGGGGTAACTGGTATATAAGACGGTTCCTTTTCACCGTCTGAAGAAAGTGAGTAATCGGCACTATTCTAATCAGTATCTTGTTCGTCCGTAAAGTGACCTGTCTCGCAATACCCCAGCACCATCTTTCGAGGCCAGCTTACCCGTGGTAATGAATACTGGTAAGAATACCTACCCTGTAACGGACGCCAAGGGTAAGACTACTTCTTCCATTGCTTTAGGTTTTACAAGTAACATTCGGCATGAGGCATATCGCGATGACAACTGAGTCCGACGACCTTCGTGCGGTGCGGACGATTGCCTCAGACGATGATGCCTGTGTCGTCTTCTTTCTAATGACGGGCTGCTGTTGGATTCATTTATAGCCGATCTCAGAAACAACTAGGTAACGTTGACAAAGCCATTGTCTTATAGGTAGACGCCTGTTTCGGGGGTATAAAAGCGTGTCCGCGTGGCAAAGTCCGTCTATTCTTCCACAAATCCATGTTACCATGATACCCTGCCAAGCTACAAAGGCTAATTCCAGGTGTGCGGCTCGCTCTACATTCCAGACTACCAAAAAGAAACATCGTACTCTTAGTAGTCATAGCGTGACAATAGCTCCTCTCTGTAACCACATTATTCGTCTCTCACATACACGCAAAACGTATGGGACGAGGGACGAGGCACAGGCAGTGACGATTCTGAAAATTGTAATGGCACCTCTTTTTCAGCTCTGGTTATGTCCACGCGGAAGAAGTTGAGGCACAAACAAAGGAGGCACTTCCAACATAATTTAGAGTTCAATTACCTCGCAATTCGAGCGGTTTTTATAAGAATGGTAAAAGCCTTTGACCGTCGTGATTGGGTACGGAGCGCGTCCGGGCCGGCCCCACATCGGCCACCGGAGCCGGATAGTGGCCGGTCTGCCGGATCGTGCTCCGAAACATGTCGGTAAGTTGCTACAAAGATAGTAGTTGTTCGATTTAACATAAAACCTCTCCATCGTCTCGTACAATTTAAAACCCGCAAGTAAGCCACGACCAAAACCAACTAACTCACTGCGTGGCGACAGCGTCCTGCTGACGAGTACCGCAGGCGCTGATCGGGTTCCCTTCACGAATCTTGCTATTTTAGGCAAGAAGCTCACTCCTTTGATTTTGGTCGACTACAGAATGTAGTCGAGATTGACAACCAGTTGTTCGGGGCGGACGGTATGCCTCGCGTGTAAGTCTAGTCCAGTCGACCGAAAGACATGGCTTAGTCTTTACGTCTGGAACCACCATTTGACCTCTATTTCTAACCTTCCTCTCTTTTCTGACGTTCCTGGCTCTACCAGATGGGCTTAATGCAGTGCTACTCGCCCAAGATCGAGATGGGAGAACACGGCTGCCGATTCACTATTTGCTCACAACCAGTTGCTGGTCAGCCAAGACGGGTTCCAGACCGGAGTCGCGGTGCTATCTTTTTATGATTTTAATGGAGCTTTCGGCTTGTAGTGTCAAGTTTGATGAATCCTGACGAGCGCTTTTGCCAGCTGTGGCAGATACGCTTCTAAGCTGTGTGAAGGAAAGACAACCGATGATCAAGATGATGAACAGGTCAAAAGAATGTGACCAGGCTGTCTACTGACAGTAGCTTCGAAGTTGTGCAAGAAACTGCAGCCACGCACGGTGTCATTTGCATCAATTCCGACGTGTTACTTACTATCGTGCTCTCTACGTCAAAATTGGTCACTTAATCCCTGATTATCGTGCAGCGTATTGTTTCTCCCGCCTCAGTTTCCAAGGGAATATAAAGTTGAAGTCTAGATTTGAATGCTGTCACTGCAGCCAAATTCCATCGGAATCAGTCAATGTTAATTCTGCAAATCTATCTTTGTGGCTTCTGTTATCATGGCGTCATCTACTGCCAATTGTTTCATGCATTGAGTCCTCAAAGTGTAGCTCAGAAGCCAAGTATGTGGAAGTCTTTGGTGTCTTGGATGTATGCAGGTAGGTATGGTCAAGTAGATTGTACCAACGAAGACAGCGCTGCAGGAAGGGTTCAGGGCATACACTGAGCCCAATATGCTGGAATATCTGTGGTCATCATGATGCTTTGGCTAGCTATGCTTGTCTCGGCAAATGTCGAAGCTAGATCGTCACATGATTCTTTCAATAACCCCCCGTTGACCGCTGTCGCAGAAACCTTGATATACCAGTAATTACTTCGCGTACTACTTTGAGTTTCAGACTTCTCCTACATAAAACAGACTTTCTTATGCATTTCCCACAGTTGAGCCACACAATATGAGTGCTGAACAAGGCAATGAAGTCTGGTAGGCAGCTAAAGGTTCGCGTATCTCCATTCACTATCGCCGCACGCTGTGTTGTAGCCGCGCGTCCCAGTGTAACATACTTATGGGTTTCTCCATTCTACGTTTATTTCTGTCGGTCTGTGCTTATTTGGGAGGTAATCAACGAAGACTGAGTGTATGAAACTGAGGCAAGATTGAGAGTTACCTAGCCAGGGGTTGCACCGGGACTCGATGAGACGCAATTGCGGCTTCACAGGTCTGAATGATGGAGAATCAACGGCAACAGAAAACCCGGACATCTTTGGTCTGTTGTCTCTTTGAACTTCGAGGTTTCTATATTTATAACTCCCAGAGCGCGCTCGAGCTACGCGTTGCGCACCTCGTGGTTGCTTCAAGATAGCTCGGATGTGAGGTCTTAGTGACCGCCGTCATCCTTCCCTGACGAGCTTGAAAACTTCATTTCACTGTATTATGCCCTCTTTTTGGATGGATTTCGAGTGCAACATAGGCGAATGTAGAGTTCGCTCTGTCCTTTTCGTTCCTGTTCTCACCGCCGGCATTACTGCTGGGAGATCTATTTAAAGCTTCTTGTGAAGCTTCTTTTTGGTGAAAGCAGGAGAAATCTGGCCAAAATCTCGCGGAGTCCACGAAGTCGGTATACACGTTTTTGCTGGTGGCTCAAGAGGCGACCCCAGCAGGGCCGGCGCTGGCCGGGTGCGGAGATTAGCCTTGAGTATGTCATGCGAGTGACCCGTCAAACGTCTCCAGACTCTATTTTTGGTGTATCATTCGACCTAATAGACGACAGATGGTGACGTCTGAGTCTGAGCATTATGTCTTCCCAAAGGTATTCTTGTTCGCCACCCACGGCCACGTAGCGTTTTTGGCTGAGAATATCTGCGACAATGGATTGCAAATCAGATATTTAGTTAGGAAAATCAGAATATCTAGTGAAGTTCTTGTCAAATAGGGCCTCTGCGATAAGGAAGCTAAGTAGACCTCGAACCCTCATTTCTGGCGAGGCTTTCCTATCCCTCTGGCAGGATATATAGATGATTCACTTTCCTATACTTTCAAAACCTCAACAATATTGTGCGATATTACACCCGTCTTTGGACCGAGTGACTTTTCATCAGCCAACCTCGGCCACCTCTACTGAGTCGCCCGAACGGACCTTGTCCATGTGTTGTGTAAGGAGACAGCCAATCATATTGTCGTTCAGTAGCAGTTTTTTCCGCCCCGTATTCATGACCACACAAACGACGTCTCAAGATGGTTGAAAAAAGGCCTCTGTGCGATATCGTGGAGCATCATTCCATGACGCAAACCAGCAGGCGATTAGTATGGTTCATGTCGGCAGCAAGTTCCAACAACGCCGTTCATTTGCGGGTGGCTTGAGTAAAAGAAGCGGTGCAAATCGGGACTTAAATATCTTAGATCATTTGAGTGTGAGATGAAGACTAGGTACAAGTGTTTCACGAAGTCGAAGGTCCTAGTCACACCCTCCCCACCTACTTCGTACCATTCATCAACCACATGTCTCTATTTGCAGTTACAGTAAACGCTGGAGGCAGTCAGCAAAGTCACACAACAAACAATGGCCGGGGAGACTTACTTGGACTGAGCAACACCGGGGCCGGAGCATCCGTCATACGCGCCATCCTGGCTCGAGCACTGTCCAAATTATCAGCAACACATACAACAAGACATTCGAGGTGTTCAAACGCACAGCTGCAGGGCACTCCGCCTGGCACTGAGTCTGAGTGGTGTAAACCTGGCCGGTCCAAGCTAAGACGGCAAGGGGCGAGGTGATGAACAACAGAAGCGCGGAGGATCTCATGGTGACAGATGGAATAGTTTTCGATATGATTTGGAGGAAGAATATGATTTGCGCGTGCAGGATGAAGACCATCTGTCCGAACAGCGACGACGAACGACTCCTATTTATCATCGCCATCGGAATTCCCCTCCCCGAGGAGATCTTGTAAACTCCCCAAACTCCGCAAAGATGACCCGTATCAACAAAACAACGATTCATGCCGCCAGCCCCCGTCCCGCTATTTCCATATTTACAAAAACCCGAGCGGTGTACGAATTCCATATAGTAGAAGGACTGAAAGTCCATCTCCTCGGGGAATAGGGCGGATCCCATCCAATATGACGGGAAGCTAAAATTGTGGGAAGAAGCCCACATGAAATACCGAACGCGACACCGAGCGATCCGATTGATGCGTTGCTGGGGCCGTCGATCAAAGCCGTGACTCGTCTATTTTCTTGAAGATCTTTTCTTCGCAGGTCTTTCTTTGCAGTTGCAGTAACCGCTACAGAGGTAATTAATTAGTACAATGCCCCATACCACGAAAACACAAATGCATAGGAGATGAGAGGCTAACTGGGGGTTCCAACTGTCGGTGCTGATGGTGCAGTTTAGGAAATCATAAGTATAGCTATCACACTAGGTTTCCCCCAAAACCAATATTATCAGTTAAATTCTTTGACAGAGATCTTGAACTCGACTGGATGGGCGTCGTTACTTACAGATGCAGGGCAGGCTTCCTGGCAATCATTGATGGTCTCGTATGCCCCCACGATGAAAGCCGATGCGGCGAGGGGAGAGGCGATGAACAACAGGACGGCAGCAGATCTCATTTTGAAATGTTCTTTGGGGCCTTTTTGGGTGAGGCGATATGATGCAAAAGAATGTAGTAACGAATGGAAACGAGTGTTGGGATGGCGACGAGAGGACGAAGACAATGAAGCTGAGAACGACACATCGCAAGAGACGACTTCTCCTCCTCTTATCTACCAGCGATCGAGTCCCTTCCTGCAAGAAAATGTAAACTAAGTGACTCCTTAATCTACCTATTGTTAGCAACAAATCATGCCCCGTCGTCATTGCCGTTCGAGCGGCGCCACTATCTCGACCCGGCCGGCGAAAAGCTGGAGTAGGTCCCGGTAAAGGGGTCCGGCTCCCACACGGCAGGCCGGCTCCCACACTAAACACGGAAGCTAAATATATGGGACAACGCCGGACCTGATACCGGGCAGGTCCGATCTGAAGTGCGAGAGCGGGAGGGATGATCGGATGGATACAGTCTATCGTGGGACTTATTGTCCCTGCAAGACATCGTCGGAGGGCGGTTGGCAGGGCTGAATGAGCTAGGGTACGTGGCGGCGCCCTAACAGTTCTATAATCTTCAATTTTCGATAGGAATCCTGCTCTGGTCTTCTCTAGAGATCTTTGCAGGACTCCTGGCCACTCACTGAGGGAAGTAGAGTCGCGATAAGGCAATGGCTATGCTGAAGGGCTCACTGTATTCGAGGCGCTGGTGCGGGCTCCGCTTGACTCGTGCCTTTGCGGACAGCCCGCGGGTTGTGGGGACGGGAGTAAGCTGTGGGAGAAGGGACCCGGGGACCGCTAGATTTTCGGGGCTGGTATTGGACCCCGGGCGTGATTGTGAGATTGTGAAATGGCATCTTGGATTGTCGATGTCGCTGCCGGCACGCATCTCAACTTATATTCTTTGGTCGATGAAAAGGCTACTTCGTTCACAGGCGGAGTGCGTACCCGTAAAGCTCTATTAATATCGCCATTTTGCATTGTTAAATTGGTCGCAGGGAAGGGGGCTTCGGGCGCTAAGAGGAGAGTTTGAGCTGTCCAAAGCATGAGGATATAAGCTTAATTCGGGGCGATCACGACATCGGCAGCCAAGACACCATCCAAATGCGCTTAAATTGCTAACCATTGTTGGTAGGGACAACGACGATGTCGAATTTCCTTCGGCTTAGAGAAACGGCCGTTGTTGAGAACACCCGGCGGAATAAGAGAGCATGACGCCATGGACTTTCAGTGTGGTGGACCAGACTCGGACTGTTCGGGTGAATGAGAGTGTGTACCCTCATACTCAAAAATTGTTGGCTCAGAAATGGATATAAAATGAAAGAGTCTGGTCCATGTTCCATTTGCATGCTTCGCCAACTTTTGTCGAAACACATATCTGCCCCTAATGTTCAGTTGGTTCTCGGTGGGAGAGTCGGCCACAGGAGGATCTAAGATCTTTTAGTCAAGGTACTTCAGACTTCATTGCATCACAATAGGTGAAGTCAAGTGATGTTTTCAAGAGTTGTGAAGTCTTCTTTCCGTGTCTGGTTACCTGGGCTGACCTGAGGTGGTTTTCAAAATTGCGACCATCAGCTGGCCTGCCCTTCATTACTTTTTTGTCCCCCCTATGTGTGTCCTGTAAAGAGCTTTTGTAGGCGACAATGCAATGAATGTCGTATGTGAATGAATACCCAGCATGCATTCACAATAGCATGGTCATAGTTCAAGCTCACCTCGAGCTCACCTTGAGCTTTTGCCTGCTTGTCACTCCTTCCGAATTGGCAACAGCGCAACGACAGCAAAACCGTCACCACCACTTCAACAAACCTTTTTGCTTCCCCTTGCCCTCGAATTCCATACCGATCCGGTGCTCAAAAGAAGACACAACAGCAGCTTGAGGACTCACGATACTGACCTCAACCTCCGCTTCCTCTCCGCATCTCACCCGACCTCCTCAGATCCTTCCAACCGCTACGATGTGCATCATCATCTCCACCCTCTACGTGGAGTGCATGCACAAGCACTACCAGAACACCTTCAAGTGCGCCTCGGCCCGGGGAAGCTCCCTCTTCCAGTCGTCGCGTAACTTCACCCTCGAGCGAACGATCCACCTGCCCGACCAGCAGCCGAAGCAGATCCCCCACCCGCTCTGCGACGGCAACATCAAGAAGGCGACCCGCCCCGTTACCGGCCGCTGCAAGACCTGCATTCGCGAGGAGAAGGAGCTGAAGCAGTTGCTTGGTAAGAAGCTATCGAGATACCGTCGTTGAGGCAGAGGAGAAGGCTAGAAGCTGGAGCTGACGATGAGTGCAGAGGACGCCCGCCGTGCCCGGGATGCCGCTCCGGATGATGCGGTCACTGAGAAGAATGCTCGGAACAGCGTGCTTGGACTGCAGCAGCTCGTTGCGGCTACGAAGCGTATGGATCTGGACGATTAAGATGGTCGCCTCAGCTTTGTCGACATCGGAAATGCGCCCCTACATGCTAGACAACGCGGCGTTCGATTACATGTTGGCGGGATAATTACGGAAGCTTGCGATGTTTCGAGGAGCATCGAGATATCGAGCGAAGAATGGCTGTGGCATGGATGCAAAAAGGCATAATTGGAATTCACGATGGAGTTGGGAGTTGGCAGAAGCGAATGTGACACGGACGAACAACGCGGGGCGTCTTGGGCCGGGCTCTCGGGGCAGGGGCGGTTTGAATGACAGCCCCACATGGACCTGCCACTTGCAGAGCCAGCTTTTCGGGGCAGGCAGGACCGGCTTTACGGCGACGGTGGGCAGCTTCCGTTGGAGACATTGATGGCATGGCAGGCGTTGGACCGACCCGAGCAGAAGGAAGGAAGGAGGGGGATCGGCGGTCCATGCTTTTTTGCGGGTGGCTCTTTCCCTTTTCTAGCGTTTATTGGCTGCTCCCCAGCCACTGGCATTTCTGTCATTCGGACACTAGCAACCTGCCACCTTCTAGAGGGACACTAATGAACCGACAATGCGCATCTCTGTGCTTCTGGAACGTGACTGGAGTCTTGGGGTTGAGCTTGATCTAGGTGATTGAATGGTTCGTCGAATGGAGATGGACTAGTTCCCAGCGCCATGTTTTGGGCCACCGATGCATGTTGCACAGTTCTTCAGAGGGGACCTGAGGGGGAGACATTGGGAGGGTCCTGATGCTGATGCAGCATTGGACCGCACCTGACACCTGGGACCATTGGGGGCGCTAGCGGCGAGCCAGGCGTGTTTGCACGAATCCAATGGATGATACGTGCCCCCGGTCATGTCATGCTGATTGATGCTGAGGTGGTGGTGTTCTCTGTAAGGTACATACCTTGCCTGGCTGCCATGCCTTGCTAGCGAACCGCATGAATGGAAACGCAAAGCTTGCATGCAACCAGAACCAGAGCTGACATGTTCGTCCCGTCGAGTCGAGTTCATGCCAGCGATATGCGATCTGAAGGGTCCAATAACTGATGCGTGGGTTCCTGGGGCATTGAGGGTGCAGGCAGACAAACTCAATTGCTCGAGTAGATTGATTGATTGTCCAGGGGAGCGGAGGGAGGAGCAGAGATGCAAATGACGACGTCTCGCTTCCCGTGGAAAGATAAAATCGGTACCTTCCCTCCCCTGCCCACCTCACCTGGCTCCTGCATCTGGCCAAACCCACCCCGCCCACTCCTCCTCCACGCGCACTCACACTCAGAGGTAGCAAGCACGCTGCACCTACCTGGTACCTACCCCGACCTCAGGTCGCAGCGATGGATGGATCCTTCCCAACACCACCAACAGCACTCGACATGCGCCAGCACCTGCACCTGCACCTGCACCAACACGATTATGGGCACCACCACCACCACCACCAGTGACACCGACACCGACACCACACGGGAGGTGCGCCTTGCCTAGCCTCGCCCACCCCATCCTCCCGCCCCGTCTGATGTGCCCATCCCATCCACCCGCCGCCTGCCCATACATCATACCCTACGTACCCTTAACCGCCAAACCTCCATCTTTGCACCATCACCATCGTCATTCCAGTACCATTGCTTCTTCTGCCTGCTTTGCTTTCCATAACCGTGTTATCGCCTTCCCATTGCATCCTCAGCTTCTTGCATGCGTAATCAGTAATTCGGCCCCGCCCTACCGCTCGAAATGGCCAAGAAGGCGCGCCAGAGGATCAGCTACGGTATGTCTCTCTGCCACTCCCGCTGCGCCGGTGCTGTTTCGCTGTCGCCGCTCGTA